AAATTCCAATCAAAAGTAAAAGTGAAGTGATCTTAATAAACTAAAAATCGCGAGTTACTCACGTGAATATACTGAGAAAAGCTCTACTAGTTTCGAACCACAGAGAGGTTCTTCCTCATGAGCAGCGTGCGCGGTCGCGGCGATATCGCGCAGCCTACTTTTTCTCCGTATATTCACGTGAGTAACCCGCGATTTTTAGTTAACTGAAGTGATCTTATTATACTTACGTACTTTTTGAATGTTTTTTCAAAACGATATAGACATGATAGCATCTAAAAAATTGACGCAAGTAAAACCCGCTACACCGCACGACAGAATTCCACGTCAATAAATAAATTGAATTAAATCAAAATCATACAATTCACGATATTTTACCTCGGAAATCTCACGATGAAACTGGTCGTAAATAACATTTATTCACCCATAACAGCGGCCATATTTATTTTGAAATAAAACAACGTAGAATAGTATTGTAAGAATTACAACCGACGTAAATCATTGCTCTTAAAACAAACAATGAATTGTAGAAAATGTAAATATCTTGCGATATTATTGGCTGGCTTCAGTAATCGTGGCATAAGTTTTGATGTTTTGCCAAAAAGATCAAAGGAATGACCTTGGAATCATGCACTGATAAAGAGTCAGGCGATACAGTGAACACCCCGTTCATATTTTATTGAGGATATCGTAAAAGTCATATTTTTATTACTTAGAAAATCGTGCGTTTCTTACAAAAGATACATGGTAGGTTAACATTGAAATTAACTGTTTTACTATTGAGTATGACGTCCAAACCGAACCCTGGTTAGAGCTTCCAGCTCAAAAAAAACTGTGACATGTAGGTAGTGCGCTGCGCACCTATTCTAAGGCTCATAGTAAAAACATTTCCGACAGTGGTTACTAAGCCTAAATAAAAAGTAAGAACTGGAAAAGCCACTACCACAAATTTTACGTAAATTATTCCACAAAAGTTATCATAGTTAGTTCTAAATTACATGAACCGTCTAGGTAACTAAAACAATTGTACCTCTACAAAATAAATAGGATTTAAGTGGCCGACGACATTAGAGCTTTGCGAAAGGATTATGATCGCACTCGGTGTTAGATCCCAAAGACAATTAAATAATGCCTAAAGCCAGTTACACAAAGTTGGAACAAAAGCGAAGTTCCCGGGCCCGGACAACTTGCGGTGAGGACAAAGGTCCTTTGTTTACAGCTAATGTACGGCGTGCTTTGTCACTGCGGCTAAAATTTTGACTTATTGTCGAGCAACGTGACTGTGTGTTCACGTCTTTATGTCCCATTTCATTCGGTGTCGATGCTCACGTGCAGGTGAGAAGTGTGGAGAATTAGTTAATTAATTTTATTATTATAAATTTGTATTTTTTAATGTTTCATCGACATTTATAAGTGACACAGAGGCGAAGAAATCTGAATAAAGAAAAATCTTTTAAAGAAACGAATGACATCCACATACGATGTGTATGTGCCTTACCCAATGCAATATAACTAAGAGCAATAATAATAGTAAAACGTTTCGTAAATTTCAAGATGTATTTATCCCAAACTTCACTTTCTTAACAAAAAACCGACCATTTAAATCCCATTACAAATGCATTCAACAATGAAAAACGGTTTACAATATAATAATAGCAATCAATCAAATTTTAAAATATTATATTTCATATTTTCAAAACTCAAAGGAGCATGAACGAAATGCATTTGAAATCTCACCTGGTATCTTACTTTTTGAAAAAGATAAGTGAAGCATCTAATATATATATTCCCTCACAATAGCAAAACGATGGATTGCATAACAGTAGAAACCCGATTTCTTTAAACCTTTGAAAGTTATTATTAATACAAATATGTAAGTAAACTAAAACTTACGTAATTCAATGGTTTTGTGGGATCAAATAAGCGAAGGGTTTTTGTAAGAAGTTTTTTGCAACGTTACCTCCTTTCATAAGGAGTTTGAGTAGGAGAATCGAATGAAACATTAGTTGACCTTTGTTGTTAAATTTCACCCTCTAATGCCAGGTCCACACTCTTGGCAAACTATAATAAACAGCAAAAACGAACATGTGGATGCGTGTTTGTGTGTATGTGCTTGTTCTTGCTTCAGTTCGGCATCGGTGTCGAACAGTGGTGCACACTAACACAGAGCAAAGGTTGTACGGCAAACAGTTTGCGAAGCATCAGCACACACGATCATGTGGATAGGTGTTTGTATGTGTGTGCTTGGTCTTGTTTGTGTTCGCCACTGTTCGGCATCGGTGTCGACGTCATCAAAGGCTGTTGAGCAAACAGTTGACCATGTATCCACACCCTTGATACAATGATGGTTGTGACAAACATTAAGCGTGTGGATGGGGCAACACAGAATACCAGTATGAAGTACAGAAGTGACATGCCAGGCCATACCAGTATGAATGACACTGGGTTTTCATCTGGTAAGTTCCAGATGCATACCTCATTGTTTGCTATACCGTTTCTGGGAAGGAGATCTCCCCAAAATAATGACACAATTGAGCTGTTTAGGTAACATGTTATGATACCACAATAATAGAGGAAGTACATAGTAGATAGTTCTCTATAGTTCTTTTACTCTATATTCTAGTTACTCAATAAAAATTCCTCTTAAACTTTCAATCGAAAAGGAAAAATTCAATAGTAGAGTCTTGATATAAGAATAAAATAATTAGGTAATCGTTAAATCTCAAAGCGTCCCATCCATCATACCACGATAATGCCAGCTTTGATTGATCGCAATTATTTTTGTTGTTTGTCAGTCTACGTTGTGTACACTTACATTCAAAAATGGCCTTTAATATCTGTCACTACGTCACTATTTTAATTGATTAGTTATTTTATCATCGTACGTAAGAATAATGAGTTGGAAGAAACTTTGAGTGACGATACACGTGTAAGAGAACCTGTAGTAAGAGAAGAAACTAGAATAAATTTGACTGATCAAGATTCCATACTAAAATCACATGTAACATAACATCATCACGCCTTTTATTCCCGAAGGGGTAGGCAGAGGTGAACATTATGCCGCTGTACAATGTAACACCCACTTTTCACTATTTAGGTATGTTATGAGTCCCATGTAATACATTTTTTTTAAAAACCCAGTAATACTTTGCCCGACCCGGGAATCGAACCCGAGACCCCTTGCCCGACAGTCGCACTTGCGACCACTCGACCAACGAGGCAGTAAAATCACATATCAACCTATCGACTTGACAGCCAATCCGTCTAGAATAGGCAACCACAGAGCGGCATCCAGTGAGATCCAACCTAACTTTTTTTTACATGCAACCGGACAAATCCGCACAGTCAATCGAAGGCTCTGGCTGTGCCTGCTTCAGTATTTCTTACACATCCTACTACATTACTACCTTTCCAAAATTTTCGACTGCAAATCTTCAGGTTCATACGTAAGCGACTCTCTGTCACTAACTCCGATTTAAAATTTTAACCTCAAATGCAGTAACAATATCCATGTATTGAATAAAATATTCGAACAATATCTCAATTCATTTATAGTAAAAGTAGGTTATGATAAGCGATACAGCGATATACAGGGTGCATCCGAGCGTGTGCCATCGCACGCTGCTCTAACCACGGAACTATGAATGTTCACATCATTTCAATCAAACGCCCGTATTTGTTACATAGTTTTACGTTTCGTTACCTCTGAATTGTTAATTTTTCTTTCTTATTTTTCTACCAGATTATTATCTCTATTTCTTTTTTGATGCAATCATCCAGAACATGGGTTATTGTATGTCTTACTCGTAGTATCCTTTGAAACCTTTATTATGATTTATACTTCTGAAATAATCGACAGTATTTATTTATTGGAAACACTTCAAAATCTAAATTATACATCAGCAACGAAAACCATCAAACTCAATCTCAGTGAGCAAGGTAACCAACCTATTTCTGCAACATTGTAGATCGAACAACGTAATTCAACCGGTAAACCGCTATTTATATTACAAACACATAGAAACGTTGTAAATACGTCTTATTACCAACATATAATAGGTAACTAATAACAGCACGCAACCTATAATTTTGAATTTTCTATTCCAATCTTAAAATTACGAAGCGCAATCGGGTACATTCGGTCGACGTCGGCTTGAATTGACCAATCATAGTGTTGGGTTTGAAAAAGGAAGATGTTGTTGAAATAGATGGGCCGCATTACCGTTAATGTTTGTCGGTTATTACTGGCCAGTTACTGGTTTATTAAAGAAACCTTTTCTGGGGAATAATATTGGTTACGGTTAGAATTAGAGAGAAAGTTGCAATTTAGTAGCTAGGTATACATACGTATAAGTCACAATTTCCCTTGTATTACATTGGGATAATATCGAGCGTTTTAGTATACTTTTTAATCTGGTTTATGACCTAAAATTGCGGTTAAAGTTTGTCTTTCCTCTAAAGTTAAACAGATCAGCTAACAAAACGCCAACAAAAGCTCTAGAGATTGTAATCCTCTTCTTTCCGGGACACGGTATAGTTCACGGTACACCGGGAACTATAAGATCCAATTTCATTCAATTCCATAAAGTACCTTTTAGTTGCAATCTTATTTCAAATGTACTGGCGCATTAACTGAAAAGTAGAAGCTAGGTTTTAGTTACGGTCATTCTTTTATACTTCTTTTAGTTTTAAAATTATTTTACGTCTTTATTTGCTTGTTGACGTCGCATTAGTCGCCAAAGTGAAGCGGGAAGTATGTGCACAAAACGCTATTTGTAATTTTTTAGACTTATCTACTAATCTTCTGCTTTATAGCATAGATTTTCATTTTTATTTCGTTTTCCTTTGTCCCCACATTTAAAAATGAATAGATTGTTAATGTCTATTCTCGTGGCTGACCATTAAATCTTACTTTTAGTTCTAGTTCACCTCAATTACCTTCTCCACTCTTTGGAAGAATCGCATCTTCTATTTCTTTAAACTAATTTCTCATCTCTTTCCAGAGCTACCGTGGTCGGAAGCCTCTTGGTGGTACAGCGGGAGTGGCCGGCGCCGGAGTCCCCGGCGTGGCTGCCGCAGCATCGCCCAGCCCTGCCCCTCAAGCCCCGGCTGCACCCAGTCCAGCCCCAGCCACCACACCAGCTATGAAGCAAGAACATCCTAGCCAGCCCATGGTAAGTTTCTATTTCGTGATTTAGCGATTAATTTGTCTGTTGGTTTCAACAGTAGAATTCAGGGTGTCAACTATTTAAGAAAATGTTGTGTCTATTATGATTGTCTATAAAATGTGCATAAAACTATAATAAGTACGTAACAGTGTAGAAAGAGTTCCATAGTCAGGTAATAAGTAGGTACACTTAGGCACTCTACAACCACATTTTGATATTTGTTTCTATCAAGCTGTCTCATTGACCGAGTGGTCACAAGTGCGACTGCCGGACAAAGGGTCTCGGGTTCGATTCCCGGGTAGGGCAAAGTATTTACTGGGTTTGTAAAAACCTCAGTAGTAGCACGGAGTCTGGAAATGTGCCCGGTATATGGCAATAAAACCCCCTATTACATGGGACTCATAACATAAATAGTGAAAAGTGGGTGTTACACTGTCAAGTGGCATTAAGTCCCGTAATGTGCACCTCTGCCTACCCCTTCGGGGATACAAGGCGTGATGTTATGTTATGTTATGTTTCTATCAAGCTAGAAGTTACTAAGTACTAAAAATTAAAAGTTTCTTGTGATAAGTTACGTAAAAAATACATAACAATATATGTGAGAACACCAAAGGATTCTTCTTGTACATTCAATAGTTACTGACATATTTCGAAAGTTCATCTCTACAAGTAACGTTATGCTAATTCATTGCAATTCTCCCGTCCATTTTACTTAAAGGAAATGATGGAACCAATTTAGCCAATTCCAGTCAATCTTCATCTAGGACTTGATTAGTTTCTGCGTTTAATTTAAGACCTAGGATATACCGTAGCGGTTTCTGTTGCGCTAAATGTAATTATCCAATTTGAAAATACAGCTCGTTTGCTTTTACGACTAATGGACGTTTTCTTATTTAATTATCTTTTTATTAAGTAAATGATTTTAAATCTAGTGTGTGTAATGTAAAATTAAACGTGTATTGTTATTTTTAAACTCCAACTTCATAATAAAAAGTATCTGTTTTCATACTCTGTTTCAATACAATACCAATTAAATGGAATGACCATTCAATGAATTATTCTGTACAAAAGTCAAAAATTAATCCACCAATAAAGCGACGGTATTATAATTAAGTTAATCGTAATGTTTACATACTGGTTGAGTTGTCAACGTTAAAATGACACATTAACTCGCCTTTATCCACGAAATTAACAATTGGGAATTAAAAGCTGCCGCGAAATTGTAACGTGGAACAGAGGCAGCGTCATTACACCGGGAATAACACATGATTATGGTTTTATAACAGTAAAATGAGGGATTTGCATAAGTGTATCATAACGAGCCATTACCATAATCGTTGTCATTTAATGGCCGGTTTTAACAAGCTGCATGATTGCTTTATAAGTAATTATGGGGTCCGGACATGGTAATTGTGTTTATAAATGTCTGCCTGATTTATTATTTATTGTGGTATGCACATGAAACAACATCCTAACTTGATTTCAGTTTCGCAAATAAAAGAAATCTACTTTTAACAATGTAATTGACCTCGTTGGTAATTTTCATTTAATTTAACAAATAACTTGTTAATTTTATTCGTCATAAAAGCTAAGTAACTGGCACGGCTATCTCTTCCGCGACGCTGAACTTCGTAACTCGTGAAAATTCTAATCCAGACGCACATTATTCCTAGGTTTAAAAGGTATTTGAATAAAGAATGGTCTTATTATTTGGGAAAAGTTTCTTTCTTTACCTACTTAAGCTTATATTTTTGGCCTCAATGGTTTGTAGAACTGAGTCGTTTATTAGAAAATTAAAAACCTAATTTACAGAGAGAGAAAAAAAGAGACCTGTATGCCACTAGAGAAAAAAATTAAAGACAAAAAGAGTCTCAAAAAGCAAATTGAATTGTTCAATTTTCGTAGGTAAATGCGCTCGACAAACTTATTCAATTTATTTATTCCTCTTTCGTTTGCATTTGACGAAAACGTCTTTGTGACTGTTTTGATAAAATTATAATTGAATTTGTTTTAGACAATTGCTTTTCGAAATGGAAGGGTTTAAAAATTGGGGTAGGAAAAATGTTCATAACGGGTTCATTTTTCGTTTAAATTTTTTGCGAGTGCGATACCCTTTTTTTCATATATCATTTTGAATTTTCACATAATATCAACATGATTATTTTTCTACAGAAATCCTAAAAAGAAGCTGTTTGTAATGAGCAAGAAAATATCCAAAACACGTTCCATTTACTTTACACCGAATGCAGTTGTATTTTAAGCCATTAAATATTTTCAAGAGTTTCTTATTGAATTCAAACTGAACTCTAACAACACTACGTCTAGTTCAAATAACTAGTTTTCCATAACAAGATGTCAAAGTGGGAAATTTTTAATTTGCGCCGCGGAACCAACTTTGGCAATTTCAGTGCAGTGGCCGCCGAATTTATGTTCGTTCGCTCCTACCAGAAATTCTATTTTATTTTAAAACTGGCCAGTTATACGGCAATAAGACTGTCGACTTTCGCGTAATGAATAAAAAGTTTGCTAATTTAATTTGAAAAAAAGAAACAGTTTAAATTTTGACGCGTTCTTTTATTAAGAATTTAGTTTTGTTTTTTAATTTGTAATTTACTGTTAAGGTAAAGGCACCTAATTCCGCGCTGTTTTTAACATAACACGAAAGAACATTATAAATTAAGTATTTATCGGACCTTTGTGTACAATTTTATATTTTTATCAGAAGTGTTAGCTATCAAATTTTTGAAAAATATTTGCAGTTTGTCAGTAGAAGGTTATTGAAGCTGATAAAATAAATAAAAATATAAAAAAGTCCGAGGTACCTTATTCCGATTTAAAAATCGTAATTCCGATGCATTTGGTTCCTAATTCCGAGTATAAAAATAGAAAGGGAACTATGTAGGGAGAATTATACATGATGTTTAAAAGTCAAATCTGTTTATTTTTTATATTACTTAAATCAATTCTGTTTTTGTTTATTCTAGTTTTATTCTAAACCTGTTTTTTATTAATATTATTCCTTAATCTTATAAAAAATAAAAATGAATTAACAATATCAAACACACACACCAATTTTATGTATTTGTATAGATGATTAGTATTCTTTCAGTTACTAAACGCGTATCTACTAAGCACATAAAATAATGAACACTCTGTATTTAAACAGGGTCTTAACTAACTTCGGAATTAGGTTCTCATGTAATCTTATTCCGACGTAAATACATCGGAATTAGGTACTCATGTAACTTTATTCCGACGTAAATACATCGGAATAGCGTTTTATGATGCTAAATCAAAGTTTCTAATTCCGAGTACTAAAAAGTAAAAGATTTTTTAATATTATGCAAATAAAATAATGTATAGTTACAATATGAAAGGAAAACAAATATAAAGTACATACATATAATAACAGAACACTTATAAAACCTAATGTCTTCACTAAAATCTTCTATACAACGTATTAATAAAGTACCTGTACAAACAATTTTTGACCTGCTATAATTAGTAAATGCGACGCCACGGTGTACCTCGGAAATAGATTATTAAATGTATGAGTTATTCATTAAGTCAGAACTAACACATTAAAGTTTATAATCATAAAACAGACACCGAAATTTAAAAAAAACTAAATGTCTTTAAATTTGTTTTTCCGTGGTATACATCGGCTTTTAGGAACACACTAAAATATTTTGCACCTAATGCCGCAGTATTTTAAACACTTATTTTCTTGCTAATTTGCAAATAAAATACTCAAATCTTAAGTGTTTTCGATAAAAAATATTATCCTTTCAATATTTCAACCTAAACGAAAACTCGCGTTGTATAAAATTATTACGTAAAACACTATTTGGCAAATCGTAATACTCACGTGCATAAGGTCCCAAATGTATGAAGTGTGCTTTCGACGCCGCTCCCCGCGGCAAAATGACCGATTATTTTACAGTGTGACCAAACTAAACTCTCCTTTGTATAAATAAATATGAACAGATAATTATTAATTCATTATTTTATCATGCAGACCATAAATAACTAGTAAATTGCTTTAAAAAACTGTTTTTCTAAATACATCGGAATATGGTGCCATTTTTAGAACCCCTCGGAATAAGGTGCATTTACCTTAGTAAATAAATAAGCACTTTTTTCCTTACTTCATCTCGGCACATTTCTTGATCAATAGCAACTTTACAACAAAAAATACACGATTTTAATCGATACCGATATCGATTTTTTATCACAATTTCCTAAATACACAATGGATACTAAATTTAGAATGACATAACTCAAAACAACTATGCTACAAATAAATTCAATTGCTTCGGACAATGTGTTGGAATGCCCATTCATGGCGGGAATTGGCAATAATCGGCATGGTTATCAAGCGGCCATTGTTCACAGATATATAATAATTCATTAACAACAATAAAATCCAATAAATTGTTTGTTACTGCCGTTGGTATTGTGTGATAATAATTAATTTGTTAAGATGTAAATAACCGTGAAAAATTTTGATTGAAACTGAGTTATTTACGATAAATCAAGAACCATTCATTAGTTAATAAACAACGTATTTATTTTGTCTTTAGAGCATGATTAAAAAAAATAATTTCAGGTTCGATACCTACCTGAATATCCCGTACCTGGGGTCCATTTGGTCCCAGTGGCATTTTTCGAGTACTTCTAAATTAAAATAGTCTAGTTAGCACGGTAACTTGTATCATGTTTTTGCAACATCATGCTTTAAAATAAAAATCTAATATTTTTATAAGGAAAAGATTACAATTGTCATTAAACGAGTAGAGTAAAGATCGAACGATATTTGAGATTAGTGAAACGCTACTGATTGGATACACATAAACAAAACAATATCTATATCAACTTCTAAATATAAAATTTAGATACAGAATCAAATTGCCGCGCATTTTTATTGAAATGTCAAAATCTTGGCCATAAATTCGAATCTTCATACGCACACTGCGAGGGTTGTTCATAATTGTGTTCAATTATGCTCCGAACGCAATTATGCATAACATCGTAATTTTCGTTAACATTGTAATTGGGTAATAAATAGAGAACGCAATGCTGTTGTCATCTCAACTCGATTATATTATTATCTGGTGGCCATTGACCTATTAATTTTCATCCTCGTTAATAAAAAATAAAATTCAATTTATTTTCCTGGCAACATTTACGATAACAACATAGGTTATCGACATCTTTATTGAATTTCAAAATTGGAATTCTTTTATACTTGAAGTCTGAAGACGATATACCTAAAATAATTTAGTTTTTCAATTAAGACACAAAAACTGGAAGAAATTAATTAGTCAGGAAGCGAGTAAAACGGCACATGTGTAGTAATAAACAAGAATAATCTCGTTATAGAATCTCATTACGACGACATAACAAAGTTTTAATTACGAACGACGCACGTACGCTGGCATGTTAATAAAATATTACCTAACTTAGCAAAAGGCATCCCCTTCGTTCTGAAATTAAAATCTTAGAAACTTCAACGAGTTTCGAAGGAGCATTACATTATAATTTGTTACGTAACATATTTACTTTGGCCTGCCAACGTTTAACACGCTTAAGTTTTGTAATTTAATAATTTTCCCTCTGTTACGAACGCAGCGTTATGAAAAAAAAAACAATAATGGCGCCGCCATTACTGTTCGTTTATTTTGTAATTACATGTCAGGATATTCCAGGTCCTTTTTTAATTTACAAGAAAGCACTAAGTTTCTTTTAAACTTAGGTACTTTAAAGTAAGAAAATTATGTCCCTAGATGCTTTAATAAACAACTAGTCAACTACAATAGTTGCAAAAAATAGTAGGACCTAGTATTAATTTAACAGTCCAAAGACAGTCACGTGCCTCGTACAGGGCCAAATCAAACAAATGCTTGAAAGTACATACAATTTAAGAGGTCATACGAAGTTTTTTAAGTACTTGACCTTCCATGAGTCTCGGCTCAAATTACGTTATCATGTTATTTTTTAAAACATGTTGATAACAGTTGTTAAAGGTACAGTTACATTTGAAAGGGCATTCATTTCTTATACCATACATGCAGTACAGCAACCCACAAATGCTCTACAAAGTACTACAAGTATTGCCATAGTGAAAATCTTAAGTACCAAATACAAACATGAGATGACTGCCAAACGTTACTCCCGCTCGTAATTCAGCATGACGCTTGTGTAAACAGAACCCGTGGCCTCGGTCATCGTATGATTACGTAGGGGCAGTTCACACGATACATTATGTAGTAAACATTGTCCGAGCCAGCCTCGACACACATAACACAATATTAAATGACTCGAGCGCTAATTATCTAAAACGATACAACTCAACTATTGTAAAAACTAAAAATATTACGAGGACACAAACATTCGTGTCGTCCTTTAATTTTAATGTGAGAAAATGTTGTTACATATAAATTATTCAATTGTATACTGGTTGTGAATAATAATTTTAACAGTGTTTTGTATTGTTGCAGGCGCCAATGCCGTTCTACGCCGGAGATCCCAACCGCTTCCCCACTGCCTGGCAGACGGATCCATCTCAAGGTAAGTACTGGTAACAGTTCAAATATCTTTATGCCTAACTTACGTAAAGAGTGAAATATAGACATACAGATTAAACAATCAATACCTATAAGTAAACCTTCGAAATATAATTATTAATAGATAAATATTCAAATAATTGCTCAAAGGAAGACTTTATGTAATACTCGTAACAACATATTAAAAACATTTTTGCAGGTTGGCAGAACCAGTTCATCCAGCAACTTCCCACACAAACAGGTCAGACGACGCTGGACTACCAGGGGAACCACACAGCGTACGCCACTTCTCCCCACTACCAAGCCAACACCACTTACACCGTCCAGAATGTTGCCACCGCCTTTGACGCCAGTAACAACACGTACTACCAGGCTGGCATCCAGTCTGTGCCGGCTCAGAGGCCACCCTCAAACCGCGGAGCTTATACTCCGGTACCATCTCCCAGAGCACCTCATTACGCTGCAGAGTATCAACAACAATACGCTCAAGCAGCAACACCCGGTGCGACATCAGGCAATGATTCTCGACCAGCGTCGGCTGCATCATACCAAAATTCCGTGCCAACAACAGCGGCAGCTGGATATAATGTTAGCCAACAAACTTATGATCGCACTGAATATTCGCAAGAACATCAAGATGAATATTCTAACCCAGAAAATGGGTCGGGAGATGCCAGCAACGAAGGTGAGAGACAAGAACAAAACACACCTAATGGACAGCATTCGGGAAACGCCGAGCCTGGATACCTGCAGGGGAGCAACGGTCCGCGAGCTTCACTCGATTGTAGCGGGTATTCGGGCGGCTATAATAGCGGGCAGTACAGGGAGAACGGGCAGTCACAAAACCAGAACGAATGGCAACAACACCAGTGGCAGCACAACCAAAGATTACAAAACCAACAAATGCAATCTCAGCAGCAACAGTTGCAAAATCAGCAGCAGCAACAACAACAGCAGCAGCAACAACAACAACAACAACAACAACAACAACTGCAGAACCAGCAGATGCAAAATCAACAACAGCAACTGCAAAATCAACAGTTACAAAATCAATTGCAAAATCAACAAATGCAGAACCAACAGATGCAGAGGCAGGAAGATGAGCAGCAGATGTTCTCGCAATCAGACAGGGTGAATTTGAACTCGAGACTGAAAACGATGATATTAAACAAACAGAACCACACCCGAGACGGTACTAACACTCCGCCAGACAAAGGGGACCCAGGAGAAGGGCCGCCTCGAGTGATTGACGATAGAAAGACCGGTGGCGTCACCGTCACTGACGATAGAAATACTACCGGTCATTTTTTATCGTATAGCCACCATCTCCGAGATAATTACCGCTTAGGCGAGCAGGCATATCCTATCGCTGGTAATTATTCACAGAATGCCCAAACCTTTGGCACGGGCGAATTCGGAGGTGGTGGCCACCACGTATGGGAGGGGGGGACAGAGGTCCCGAGGACTTTTGATAAACATGCTTCGACTAAGAACGTAACTAAAACTCCTCAAAAGTTGCCGTCTTATGCGGACATGAGAGGTCAATACGGTACATACTCAAACGTACCTTATGAAGCGCAAAAGTATGCAGAAATTTATAATAATGATAGTTTAAGTTTTACTCAACAAGATAGTAAGGATTTTCAATCGAAAATGCTCATTGGACCAGTATCGGAAATGAATCAACAAAATTGCAACCCGTCTAGGGACACTAACGCACAAAGAAGAGCTTACGAGACTAGGGAAACGTATGACGACAAATTTAGACATCCTTCAGCACCTTTAATACCAAAACTGGAAGTGCCTGACACTTATCAATATCATAAAGACGACAGATTATTGAAAAACGACCCACAGAGGTTAATGAATCAGAATTCATATCTAAAACCAAACGAAGTGCCTGTCAATAATACATTTAGAGAGTTTCCAAACGGAGTAGCGAGGTCACAACAAAATACTGTGCTGCCGCCAATATCGACAATAAAGCAAGAGAACTTTGGTCAAAAACCACAACCCTATCAAAACTTTCAAAATTTTCCATATGGGGAGCCCATGAGACGTACAGAGCCGGTTGAAACATATGCACAAATCCCACGAATGCAGGAAAACATGGGCTTCCAAAAATACAATCGAAATTTCCCTGATCCTAAAGTAAAAGAACCTGAGAAAGTTACTGATAGGACCTCGTCAGTTGATCCAAAGCCTCCTTATTATATAGAACAAATCAAGTCTGAGCACTCTCCACCGGGACATAAGATTTATAAGAATCTATCGTACAACCAACCACCGCGGAACGATCCATATCTGTTCCCAGGGGACGGTGGCCCCGCAGTCATAAGAAATGAAGTTGGCTACTCTTGCTGTCGCCAAGGATCTACAAAGAAACCTCCACCGGAGCATTTAAGGGACGGTGCTTGTCCCGGGCTTCAAACCAAAGATGAAGTATTAGATGATGATCCTGACGCAACTGATAAAGCTGACTCAAAAAATGGATCTAAACCCAGTACTCCAGTTCCAGACTTGAACAAACCTAAAGAGAACCAATTTAACTATTCCAAAGAATATCTCGATAATTTAGAGAGGTTACGGAATAATTCGAGAACTGAAGTTCCTGATTGCAATTGTTTTCCGGCTGATAAAAATCCTCCGGAACCTGGCAGTTACTACACTCATTTAGGTAAGCGAGTTCTTACAATTAGTTTGTGAATGTATGAGACAAAAGAATTTTCAATATATTTTCGTATTTTTCTGTTCAGGCGCTGCATCAACTTTGGCGGAATTGAGAAAGGATTTGGAAGCTCGAACTGGTCTGTCAGGAAAAGAATTGAGAATAGAGAAAATCTGTTACACTGGGAAGGAAGGAAAATCGGCAAATGGATGTCCGGTTGCTAAGTGGGTGAGTGTATGGATCGCAACCTTATTTTAATTGTCAATTGTTTAATATTATTAGCATCAAACCTTCAGCTCTATCAATCATCAATTATATGGCTAATGACCCATTCAATTGTTCCAGGTTATAAGACGTGCAAATTACACAGAAAAGGTTTTAGTAGTAGTAAAGTTCCGTAACGGACACAAATGTGCCACATCCTGGATTGTCGTGTGCCTTGTGGCCTGGGAAGGGATCCCTCAATCAGAAGCTGACCTGGACTACACTCTCTTATCACACAAATTGAATCGATATGGTCTTCCAACTACAAGGCGATGTGCCACAAACGAAAACAGGACTTGTGCTTGTCAAGGTAAGTATTTTTGTCACATATTCAATATTCTTATTTTCAAATATTGGAGGTTAAAATCGGGCAACGGAATATTTTGCTTAAAAGAGTCATTGTCCATGTAAAACTCCTTTCGTTTGGAATATCTCTAGACACAATGTGAACTGAAATACATTCGAGAACTCAACAAAAGACTTAGACTATCTAGTTCAACTCTAACATCTTGATCCCCTTTCCAGGCCTAGACCCTGAGACCTGCGGTGCCTCCTACAGCTTCGGTTGTTCCTGGTCAATGTACTACAATGGATGCAAATACGCCCGTTCAAAAACAGTTCGCAAATTCCGCCTGTCTGTGAAGACGGAGGAGAGCGAGATAGAAGAACGCATCCATGTGCTAGCAACACTACTCAGCCCGTTGTACATGAACCTTGCACCGAAAGCCTTTGAGAACCAAGTGCAGTTTGAAAAGGAAGCATCTGACTGCAGGCTTGGGTTTAAACCAGGACGACCATTTTCTGGTGAGTAAAACAAAAGATTAACATAACCTTAAAGAAGTTAGAATGTTGTGAATATTCGTCCTAATTGCCTATTTTCTTCATTTAAGGTGTAACAGCATGTATCGACTTCTGCGCCCATTCACACCGTGACCTCCACAACATGCACAACGGCTGTACTGCTGTAGTCACTCTTGCCAAGCACCGTCCCTAAACAGGCCACCTGATGAGCAACTTCACGTACTCCCACTCTATGTCTTGGACACCACTGATGAGTTCGGCTCTAAAGATGGACAGACGAGAAAATCAAGAATGGAGCCCTTGAGATTCTCGACAAGTGAGTGGTGACGTACACGTTTTTATTATTGTTTACATTGAACTAACTCTATTCTATTAAACCTCACTTACCTGAATTCAACATGTTTCTTAGAGTCTAATGTTCCACATAACTAATTATAGGATTTTAATTTCAGGTATCCGATGGAGGTGCGTATGCGATCAGTTCCACTACAGCCATGTCGTCGCCATGGAAAAAAGCGAAAAGACGACGAGAATTCAGAATCAAATACTTCTAACAACAGTAACAACTCACAGAGTTCGGGTAATAATCAGAAGAAAGCTCAACAGTCCCCAGCGCCCAGGACTCCACAGCCTGCAGACGTTAGGAACAACGCTAGTCCTCGAAGTCAGAGCAGCGCGTCACCCAGGTCCATCACGCCAGCTCTCAACCAGTCCAATCCACCAGCATTTACAAACAACACTCACTACAACTCTGCCTTCGTAAATCCAAATATGCAACACCAAAATCCAGGACTTATCAACCCGAACTTGGGAAACCCAGCACTGTTGGACATGGCAACTATGATAGACAATTTTACTGATGCGCAATTGCAAAGCAACCAGATTTCTAGTACAGTTCTAGACTCGCCATATAATCCCTATGATCAGAGTTATAATTTACACCATCAGAATGCTATATACAATCCAAACCATGTCTCTCCGATAGTAGAAGGTGCACAAATTCAAAATCATCAGAATCAGAATCCAAACCCAACCCCGAACCCTAACCAACTCCCAAGTTTTGCTGTTGGGTTACAAAAGAGAGAACAATTTCCAAACCAAATGGCTCCTCAAAATCAGTGGCCAGATTTTGGAATACAGAGCTATTCAACAATGTTGTAAAGGAAGATCCAGATTCTACAACAGCTCACCTCAACGTTGCTCCGAATAATTATAGTCCAGATTCTAGTAGAAGTGAAACGAATTCAGACCCGCTTTTACCAAAAGTAACTCCAGAGCCAGAGAAACAAAATTTGATCGGTGACATCACAAATAAAATACCGGAATTTGACATGCCCAGTTCACCACGGCTGACGGAGATATCACAAAACTCTCAGAGCACACCAGCATCTCCTGCACCGTCCCAAATCCCAGAATTAAAATCGCCAAATAATGATCTTATGAAAACAGATGCACGACAAACTGTGTGGAAATCACCAGACTCAAAGAATTGGGACCCAAAAACCAAAGAACAACAGATAGCTGAAAATGAAAATTCTTTATTTAGAGTCCCGAAAGCTAGACCGCCATCGAGGTCTCAGCATACCAATCCACCTGAAGCTATTGAGAACTCTACTTTCTTGAAACCGTATCCACCCTCAGACAGACCTCACCTGAGTCAGGGTTACGAGCACAGGAGTCCCTACGATAGTCGATTAAACAATACTGTACCTCAAACTTCAGTTGCACAAAACAACTTTACAATCAATCACGATGAACAGAACATGCAAATAGCGAATAAACCAGTTACAGAATTCCCTGGAAACAATTTCCACGCAGTGAATCAAAATTCGTACGGGAATCAGGCACAAATACAAAGCTATGGCAATTATCCACAGGTTGCAAATGCTTACTCATTCCCACCGAACCCTTACGGCCATTTTAATCCTTACGAGAACACATATAACGATTACAATAGCCTAGCTTATTACAACGCTGAGAAGTACAAGAGGGAAGAGCTACTTAGAAATCCACATTGTTACAATTCTTACGGCTATCAATACAATCCCAACTTTGCACCAAACTTCTACCAAAACCCAAGTCCTAATTGGTGTCAATCATCACCGAACTGGTGCATATATCCACCACCATTTTCTATCCCATACCCACCTGAACCACCCAAAGCTGAGCCAATTGGAGAGGTAAAAGATGTCACAGAAAACCTCGAATGTTTTAAAGATAGTCAAATGGGTGGTGTTGCTATAGCACTGGGGCATGGAAGCGTTTTATTCGAATGCGCTAAACATGAGATGCACTCTACTACGGCTGTAAAGAGCCCGAACAGGGTCAATCCGACTAGGATATCTCTAGTATTTTACCAACACAGAAACCTTAATCGTCCCAAGCACGGTCTTGAAGAATGGGAAGAAAAGATGAGGTTAAAGAAATTGGGACTGAATCCACCGACACCTGGTACGCCAGGACCAAATTCTAATTCTGTGTCGCCGGCTATTACACCTGGACCAGAGCGACAAACGGGTGGACCCGAGAAGTGGAAGAACGGTCCGTCGGACGCCATCCCGGGAGGCTTCGCTTCCCTATCGGCACTAGTGGAGGCGACGGCGGCGGCGCGGCGCAGCGGGCAGGTGTTGCTGCGCGCCGACACGCAGACGACGATGTCGTGGACGACGTTGTTCCCGATGCACCCGTGCACGGTGACGGGCCCCTACCAGGAGTCCAGCACCTGACGCAAGCTCGCGCCTTCCCGCGCGACAACTAACACGAGGCGCTCCGACGTCCCTTCCTTAGCTATGTAAGCTCTGTGTTGCCTTTCGATTTTAGAAGTTTCTAATCGTCGATTAGAGCCATTGTGCTTTCCAATATATTTTGTAGTTCCTCGACTTATGATAAGTATTAAGTGCGGCGCGGCACTGGTCCGGCGTGCTGCCAAATTGAAAATCCAGCGATTCCTTTTATGCATTTAAAAAATTGGAATTGAGTACCGTTTGTAATTGAAATATTTTTTAAAACGTATACCGAGTGAGTTTTAATCAAAGATGTAAGTTTAAGTTTTAATTTTAAATAGTGTTTATCGCATTTCAGCTAGTCTTACGTTACGTTAGAATCGATTGTATTTTGTCAAAGTGACCGTAATCGTGTAGATTTTTTTGTATATTCTTGTCGTATTTAAGTTAACGATCGTTGACCCGACCACTGAGCGGTTAGTTTAATTTTAACAGACTATTGCTGTATAAAATAGTGACGTTAATGTATGTTTTGTCTGCATATTTTGTCGATGTTTTTCTAATTAAGCGCATAATCGAAAGTTTTGTGCGACACAATGATCTCATAAACTACTAACCCTACATTATGTAACGTTTATCAGAACAAAAGTACAAAACACTACATGAGAGCGGTCGTCGGCCGCGTGCCGCGCGCCGCGCGCCGCGCCGCGGGTCGGACACATTCGGCGGTCGTGGTTATTCATCATTTTGTACCTTTGTCTGTCAATTAGTTGTTTTATTTAATTTGTAATGTTTATTACCATTCCTGTAATTCTGAACATTTGTTTTGGCTTATAATTTAGTTAACGCGGTTCGGCCGCTAGTATTTTACCACAAAGATACGAGTGCTTTTCTATTAGGTTAAGTCGTGTGTATTTTTAACTTTTTAGAATATTTAACTTATTTATATTGTATTACGTGAACCATTATCGTATCATTTTCTTTGTAATAATTTAGTGTTACTGTAGACTTTAATATTTAATATATTTGCTTTATGGCTCGATCATTAAATTATTACAGGTTGTTTAATGCATGTTTCAAGATCGCCTTCTTTATTTGTCAAATCGAGTGCCTGTATGTTTGGCTATAAATATTAATTGATATTATAAAGAATCTGATTTTACGAATATATTATGAATTGTGACCTTATTGTTTAAGAACTGCGATTGCATTATACGAACATTCTTCTAACTTAGTGACGATAAAAAATTATAAAATTAGAGAGCATACAATAAAATAAAAGATGAATAATAAATTACTATGTATAAGATAGAGTATTGCAAGGTTAAAAAAATCAATTTTCAGGCGCTTGGAAAGATTATAAAGTAGGCATATAATTGAAAATGAATGAAACCATACTGATGAATAGTTATTAATATATAATTAGGAATAAGGAAAGTTTGTTTTAAAGATTAAACTATTGATATAGTTTATATTTTTTACGTGTACGTATTTATTGAATGGTAAATTTATTGGGACGAACGTGAAAATTATTTATAGGTAACAAGTTTTGGATATGACAAAACTTATAAAAACTAAGCAATAATAGACATCGGGGTCTATGTACATTGTAATGTAGGAATGAAAAATATTAAAATAAACGAATGGTGCGATATTGTCGACGGTCCTATGGTGACGCTTGACGTTTGATAACTTACCGAAATATGCCTAAAATTGTATTCGGATATTATTTGTGTATTACATTGGTAACATGCCCTCTAATTCTTGCCATTAAGTAGTTGCCAATTGTAGTGACTCTTCAGTTTTTCAATACATTGTGCGACAAGACATATCAAAAGCAATCACAGTATTTTTAAATCATATATTCATACACACAAGGAACAGAGCAGTTTGGTAATTTTAAAACTGTATATCTTCAAACAAAGACGAAATTTTGACACCAAAAACTAAAGTAAAATTAAAAATTGTTGAAAGAATTTCATTTGTAAGTAAATTGTATCATTTAGGTCACATTAGAAGCCTGTGATATACATTAACTCGCGAGTGAATGCTTGTATGTCTGTCTGTCTATCAGTGTGACTGACATGTTTGACGTTTGAAGCAAATGTGTTGCCAGACGCGAAAATCTTTTCAAAACCAAAAACGACCAGTATTGTCAGATTGTAACCAAAAATGTGTTTGTTTTTTTTTATTATGTTATTCTTATAATGTGGGAATGGGTTTATTACCAATGTCGTTGTAAGAAGGTTGTGGCTAATGCGCCCGCCATTTTGTGTTAGGCGAACTTATTGTGTAACAATATTTTTATTGTCTTCTGCCAAAACAAAAGAGTAATCGAATGTGTCATGTAAATAGAACTACCATTATTTATTAATACAATTAATTTAAAAAAATGTTTTTTGTTTTTATTTTCTAATCACAATACTTACCCGAAGCAGACTACAATCTCTATACAGTGATGTTAGCCGAAAGGTGATCATATGGTTGGCGCTAGATAATACTGCGTTCTTTATACCACAATGGCGTAAGCAGAGGACAGATATTTGTAGCTCCTCGTGCGACATAAGAAGGCAGAACTTATTTAACCCGAGTCAGACACGCTTCCAGGTTCCGTACACCCTATTTTAAGAATCTACAGAGGATTTCTGATTACGGAACACCTATACATAACTCAGCTCAACGGGGTCTGCGTTCAGAACTAGTTACGCCATCTAGTGACATAAACTTCAACGATTCAATGGAAGTAATGCAATAAACACTAAAACTTTATAACGATATATCTCAGTAAAATTTTTTAACTTTTATTACGTTTAGATTCATAATATATTTATTTCGAAATAGCTGTCCCGCATAAAAAATTACACTAAGTCTTCCCTGGACTTCCAATGACATTTTTCAAACAAAATTAGCCTAATCAGCCGTTCTCAAGTTTTCATCATTCAACGAACGGAAATTCATTTTTTTATTTATATGGATTAAAATATATTGTTGGAAAAGAATACTTAACGTTATTGTTGTATAGTTCCATCTCTGTTGGATAGTAAGAATCGTACTCCGTCCTTTAGTTCTTCTATACGACGCTAGATGAGGTAAAATAACAAAACCTTTTTGGGTCGTTTATAAAATTATATTTATTTAATTTCTTTTACATCTTAAGTAAAAAATATTATAAAAATATAAGAGTATTAATACACATAATTGTTCTAGAAATACAAAAGTCTTGTTTACTATCGAATACCCAAATGACAAAGTATATTTCAGTTTTCAGCTTAATTATTATGAAGTCTGCATTTGAATATTCCACGTTAAACACTTATACACAAAATATTTCATTTGAGCATTACAACAAGTACATTTTGTCATAACAATTTTCTTATACACGCCTACATTTATATTTTCCTTGTATATTTTATGTGGTCACATCACATGATTTTGGTAACTTCTTACTTTTTTATGGGACAAGCCTGTAAACGAGCAGTCGGATCACCTGATGGTAAGCTATCGGCGTCACATATGGACACCTGGAACATCAGAGGCGTTACAAACGCGTTACTGGCCTTTTGGGGATTAGGAATTTGAGGAATGATGAGAATTCAGAGATTGGATTAGAGGTGGGGGGGAGGGTAGATGGGCCTCTGGTAACCTCACTCACACGACGAAACACAACGCAAGCGTTGTTTCAGCGGTCAAGCGGTTTTCTACTACTTCATACTTGAACTTTTACTGGTTTGTTTTTATATAAATATCTATACACACTTCTAACGTAAAAGCCATTATTAATTTATGATCATACCTAAACATGAAGCCACCTGAATTATGATCATACCTAAACGTGAAGCCACCTCGTCGAGTACCGTATTTATAGACACAATTAAAGAACAATAGATTGCGGTCATCGGTGACCGCTTGGTGTTTGACAGTTTAATGGCAGTACCTAAGAGTACTAATTTTGTAATAGTAGGTACCTAGTGATTGTTATTAAATATTTTCAAATAATTTTCTACATTGGAATGTATCATACGTATTTTAAATAGTTTTCTTTGCCCTTTTCCGTATTTGATAATTTTAAGGTACTTACTTAGGTAAAACTTAAGGGTACTAAAAGCTAAAAGCATTCTTACAAAAATACACTGGTTGTATAGTTATAGTTACTTACTTAAGTTCAATTGCAAAACTGAGTTATAGTTCGATTTAAATTAAAGAGGTCAGCTTGAGTCAGAGAACTGATTCATTTAATTTTTGGAATAATTAGTAATATTGACCTTATTTCTAAGGAAATAAGTCACAGAACACTAAAAACTCATTTAGTCTATAATGAATTGATGAAGGAGCTAATAGTAGCTCCTAGACATATAGATGAATGATACCTTCTGTAACTTACATAGGAGGAGGAAAATTAGTTCGTAATTCTATTCATACATTTTCATAGCTCGTAGGAAGTGAATGTAGGTATATTATAACTACTTATGTTCTACATACATACACACGTACCTACTCACTTTTCTGATTAGATTAAACAGACAAGTCAATATTGTCAAAATGGACATTGGGTAAATTGCTGATACAAACATAAATATGTAGAACCGATAGAGTAATGTTCGATGTTACGTTTTGTGACGTAATGGTAATATTTTTTAGAAATTTAAAATAAAAAATAGACGTCAGGTACAAATGTATAGTGCTATGTAATTGCCTATTCGATTTAGGTTCCTTAAACGAATACTTATAATAATAATTATGAATGTTACATAATGATACAAATGTATTATGTTACAACGTGACATGTTTTAATTGTTACAAGATGACTTGAATGAAAGCAACAAATTAATATTAAGCCGTTAGTTATGACAGGCTATGTTAAATTAGTCACCATCTCTGCTCTTTCCGTAGGTGTTATAATAACCTCAGGGTTTATAGATTTGACAAAGATCTGCCAGTAGATGTCTCTCATAAACCTAAACGATGTAACTAGCAGTAGTTGGAAGAACTGAAGATCGAACCAAATTGCTTGCTATGAAAACAATTTTATTTATATCCAGCAATGGATTGAAACTCATCATAATTGATAAATATATGGATGCTAGTAGATACATCATGATATGTTGCATGGTGAAATTTTTGAATATTACAAGATGTTACACAATATTGCGAGAATGTATGTTACATAATGACATATATGAATGTGACAGCATGATATTGATGTTACAATACGACACAAAGGGCCATGGTACATGTGATGTGATTGAGGCGATGTTTGCGAGACACGAACGATACAAAATGACAAACATATATGAAAGTTACAATATGACATGAATGTTACATGGTGTAATTGTTACAAGATGGCATAGCTGTTATAGATGGTCGTGGTGCATGGCGACGATGATGTTGGCGAGTGCGGTCCTGGCGTCGCAGTCTGGGAAGCTGTCCAGTACGTGCACGGCGCGCGCGATGTGTTCCCGCTGGAGACGCTTCGTCTGCTCCAGACCATCGCCTGCTAATACTGCTTTGTATAGCTGCCGAGAAAGGGTTGTTAGTTGATTATTTTGACGGGTTCTTTGTCAGGATTTTATTCTTAGGCCTAAACTGCAGCTTCCTAAATGATAGGTAGATTAACAATAAATAAGATGTGGACATGTAATCCTCAAAGTAGTGTGTCATGAAAGGCTAGTTACAACTTATACCACCAATTGTAATTCCGAATCTGGATGTGACGTTTATTCGAATGCACGGTTGGTGCGGTGGCTGGGCAACCGGCTGCCGTGCAACGTGTCGCGGGTTCGATTCCCGCACGGAACAACACTTTGTGTGATCCACAAATTGTTGTTTCGGGTCTGGGTGTCATGTGTATGTGAACTTGTATGTTTGTAAACGCACCCACGACACAGGAGATAATCCTAGTGTGGGGCAATGTTTTTAAAAAAAAAGATAAAGATAAAGATAATATAAAATTATATTTTGTAAACGCACCCACAACAATACAAAACTATATTTAAGTTCAAATACAAAAAAATCGCTCTTGTTCTCAATGTATAAGTCCACTTACAGCATGGTAATCAACATCCTGGACACTCTTCTTGCCAGCCTCGATATACTCGTAGAGTTCAGGTCGAGCTTCTAACGTGAAGGCTAGGGGTGCTCCCACCAGGGAGAAGCTCGCTGGTTCAGGCCCTGTGAACGCTTCCAGATCGAGGAACGCTTGCCAGGCCAGGGCGAGGTGGCAGCCGAAAAGGTAGCCCTGGAATTACATAAGTTCAGGGTTGTGAAGATAAAAGTGTTTAAAAGTATTTTAAAGATTTCTAAAAGACGATCTGATGGTACAGAGACACTGAGAGAGTTAGCCGACTGACAACACGGTTAGTGCGGTGACTGGGCAATCGGCTGCCACGCAACGTGTCGCGGGTTGGATTCGCGCACGGAGCAACTCTTTGTGTGATCCAAAAATTGTTGTTCCGGGTCTGGGTGTCATGTGTATGTGAACTTATATGTTTGTAAACGCACCCACGACACAGGAGAAAATCCTAGTGAGGGGCAGTTTTATTTAAAAAAAAATCCTGAAAAGAGTGGTACTGATGGATACGAAAAACATACAAAGATCTATTTATCTTTTCAAGCTCACCTGTGTCTGCAACTGAGGTTTATGTCCAGCCAGCTTCAGTGCAGCCGAGCAGCTCTTGCCCAGCAGTGCTCCAGCAGCCAGCACATGACGAGCTGACCATTCACGACCAGCGCAGCCGATCACTCCACCCATTGGTAGAGGATCGGTTATTATATCCCATTCTGTAATCATAGTTGATGACCAAGTTCTTTATTTCTGACGCTTTACTTTTTTAAAATCCCCTATATTTGGTTTTAAATTTCTTATTATTCAGCATTTGGTGATACAAAATCAAGATAATAAATACTTTTTTGTAAATTTTCAATCCTTCCTAAATCCTAGTTACTAGGAATAATTTTTCAATTTACATTTTGCCTGAATTAATGAGATTCTAAGCCTCTCCAACACAACCTCTTGTAATTGTGTGGAAATCGTATCCAACATCGAAAGGTAATCGGATACTGAATGCTATTTGAGACAGAGAAAACAGAATAAACACGAACACACGAACACCGAAACCTAATCCTATGGAACAGGTTTATACTAATGTTTGTTAACAATAACATGAGTATTCCTGATAATTTTCTATTAAACACCTCATTTATATGTTTTACGATCGAATGGCAATGGTATACAGTCAAGTGTGAGTCTATTCGTATTAGATAGATATACCAGTACCAAATCATTTCCTCACATGTGATCTGTGATGCTAACAGAAGCCTACAAATGATATTTTCAAACATTTTCTATAATGAATCCTTCGATATTGCTAGCCATGTCCGAGTACCTCTGCCATATACCTTCTTCAACCCACAAACTGACGTCAACACGGAACAAACCGCACAAAACCGAAAGCGCTAAACAAATATTAATTCGTCAAAGAAGCACATTTGTCCCCATTGTCTGTTAGAGTCACGTTCGAATGGAGGGCGCAGCATAGTTCCTTGCGGCACTCCGCGCAATGAATACTAATGCATGCCTCATGTACTACTATAATGTAGCACTTGTAGATCGGAATGCGCTGATTTCCAATGTATTGTGAACCTGATTTGTTTTTGAACATCGGTCATTGGACTAGCTTTTGTTTTAAGAGTTTATAGAGTGATCTAGTGTGTTGAACGCTAATGATAGGTTTAAGAAAAACGTTTTCAGAACTAATGTAGTCTGAGGTAGTTGATTGGTTGTTTATCGCCTCAAACTACATTATTATGTACGAAACACATAGTTGACTTGGGTAGTGCATATGAAAACTAAAATCATTTACTCATTTATTTGTTAATTTCGCTAATTTCATTGGTTTTAAACTTGATGAAATCCTTCCACGATCTACTAACTACCTGTAATACAAATCTTCCATCACAATTAGCAACGCGGAACGACTGCAAAATTGTACTGAAGACATAATAACTTCGATTTTACTCTTAACTTACTACCTACAAGTGTGGGCTTATCGATTTTAAGTCAAGTCGATAAGTTAATAATAAAACCTCATTAAAATAATTTAACACGAAGGCTCTGCCTACAGTGTGATCATCCGTGTAGTTAGTATGCATGCAAATAAGGCTTAAATTTGTTCTCGCTTAAGTAAATTTGAAGTGGAGGTAATTACTTAGTTAACCCACATTCCTAGAACCTGTTCTAGTGCCAATATTTGAGGATGGTGGATAAGTTATAACGATTTTTGTTAAGAACATACAACAATATTACGTTCTTTGTACGGTTCTTTGATTTTCTCTTTACTTTACAAGCAGCAACACTATGCAAAAAATTTCTCGTTCTCCATACGTTAGAAACGGTCACCATTTGAATATCCAAGAAGTCCATGCCCCTGCCCACTTCCCTCTACTACACAAATGTAAAATCAATTAACAAATGTTTAGCACTTTCTGGCAGTAATTAATTATAAGAGACCTATTGTAATGTCCGAAAACTGAAACTAACACGTTGAACTAATAAAATACAAAGGCAATAAGTACATGATTTCTATGAAATATTTTGAAAACTCAAAATTACCTGTAGCCTCTTCTATCTGGTCTTTTGGAAGTGGTCTGGAAGGCAAAGGATTGTTCTGCTCATCCCTCTCACCGAGGAACTCTGCTTCAGCCAGATCTCGCACTGCTGATGACATCAGCTCTACCAGCTCTTGATTTCTGTAAAGTTATTGAAAGACGTCTTAGATAATAAGCTACCAGTGATGGTATGAATTATGATATACTTGTACGAAACTATACAACAACATGAACAATATTGATCACCGTGATTGGTGGTCATAATTATAAAACCAGGTTTTGACTTGAAAGTAGTCGAGCTCTCTGAAACATTATTTGGTTTTGTGTGCAACAGAGAAAATTTTTAAAATATTAGCAAGTTGTGGTAAGTGTCTAATTATCGGTTCATTGCAAAGTGCAATTTCTTGTTTATAGGAATCATATACTCAAAAAGTTTACTTAAAGCGGCATGGTGTATTTAAAATGATCGTGATTCGATAAAAACTGCAAACCAAAATAATATCTAAGATACATCCACAGAAAACTATAAATGAAAACATCATACAAAACTAAATATAAAATGAATTGTGTACTACGACGACACGAGATTCATCTTTATAATACATACATTTGTAACGTGCAAAATTATCGCTATTAAGTCGCCATATTGCGTGTAACAAACAATGGGTCATTCTAAATGGTCGCTCGCCATCTTATGGCAAAAGATGTTGCGCAGACGCACGTAGGTCAATAGGTTACTATCATCGTAAGTTATGGCATATTCTGCAGTGTATTCATTAACATCTTATTAATTCTATTAGGCAGACAGATTATTTCGTAATTCTATGTCTTTAATTGATTTTTATGCTTATTAATTAAGCAGTTTTGTTTAATATTTTTATGGATACTTGGCCGAGAGGTCGCAAGTGCAAAATTTTCAGTAGTAGCACGGAGTCTGGTGGATAGTTAGATATTTGTTTACTTTGGGGTTTTTGTACCTAGGTTCCATTTTTATTGCTATTTACCTCTAGTGTAAGACTTTTCATGTAACTACTTTTTGTCCGCTCATAAATAAATAAATCGAATTCTGCATATTAACATTCTAGTTACTAAATCTTTGTTTGTTTTCTACTAAGACGAATGTATCATTATCACACCGACAACCTATAAGTGTCCACTGCTGACCAAAGCCCTCTTCTCACACGGAGAAGGTTTGAGCATTAATCACCATGCTTGCTCAATACGGGTTGACGATTTCAAACTTATAATTAGAAATTATAAGCCCAGGTTTCCTCACGATATTTTCCTTCACCGTTTGTCAGTGGTATCTAAATAATCTTAGAAAGTACATATAACTCGGGAAAAGTCACATAGGTATTTGCCGTTGGTAGGTTTCGGACCTCATGCACGAGAAGCGCGCGTCTTAGACCTCCGGGCCACCAAACAAATGTGTAAATTATACAAACACCTTCGTAATGTAATAAATATAATTGTGTACATAACTATAAAACATACAAAGTCGCTATTTGTGAATGTAAAACGATAATAACATCATTTAGTTTTGCATTTGAACTCATTTTATTCAATTACCGACTTCATTTAGTTCATTCTTTTTATTTGTATTTTTAAAGATTGACTGCCTCATTGCTCGAGTGGTCGCAAGTGCGACTGCCGGGCAAGGGGTGTCGGGGTCGATTCCCGGTTCGGACAAAACATTAATAGGTGTTTTCCAAAAAAAATTAGTTTCAGCAAGGAGTCTGGAATTGTGCCCGGTATAAGGCAATAGGCTCACCCCCTATTACATGAGACTCATAACATAAATAGTGAAAAGTAGGTGTTAAATTGTCCAGTGAACTACTCTGACTACCCCTTCGAGGATAAAGAAACGTGAGGTTATGTTATGTTATATATGCGCATTTTTTAAGACTCTCAGTCTTTGTCTTATTCCGATTCTTCTACTGAATCTTAGACATGGTTCTGATGAAAAGTCCTATTCTACATGCTTTAAAACTTGGACAAGAGTCGAGGGAATAATAATGAGATTGAGAAAAGAGCTGTTGGAAAAGTTTTAAGGAACAAACCAAACAGCCGGTCCCTCAAATAGGTGCACACGTAACACATCATACTACAACATTTCCACTATAAAAGGGAGCAAAGTCCTCTCTCTCTCTCACACACACACACACACATACATACACACAGATATTTCACACATTGGTAACAGACTCCAGAAACAAAACTGCTCAGTCATCACATCGAAAATTCTCCTAGAAAGTCGTAACGAACCAAAAATTGGCGAGTCCCTATCTCATTTAATGCACATAACACATAAGTACTAATAACAACAGCACGTTAACTTTCACTGTTACAAGCAGAAGTACACACTTAACGCGTTGCGTTGCGTAATGGGTAACGTGGAATATTACGTTACGTCTCAGACCGGATTGAACATCGCTGGTACATTACTGATACATCCTTTAATAAAGTGCAGTGTTCGTGACGTTAACATTATTAAGATACGTATATAAGGAATAAAGGACGCAAAGGTGGTTCAGTAACTGATTGTCATGCACTTACATTTCCAACTTTTTTTTAAGGGGGGAAAATCATCGAATGACTGCTCCCGCATGAGTGAGGCGGAAGGGAGTGTCAGACTCTTACTGACTAACAACTACCCCGTTTCCAACTCCTAGGATTCCAATTGGGTAGTTTCAATGGTATCAAAATTAAAAATCTAATTAGTCCGTCAGTTAGATAATGAACAAATATTAGACACGTATTTTTTTTATTTTCTCGTATAGAGTTGCAATACTAAGATAAAATGGCGCGAAGTTTAGAAGTGGGAGGTCGATACGTCATAATGTGTTACAAAATGTGACACGCTGTGACGTCACACGATATTTCAAATTAATACATGTATATCGTCGGAAGTATTTAATTTTGTGAGAAAAGAAAAACATGTCTTAAGTTTTAAATTATTGTACCAGATGGTCATTAAAATAAAATTTAGTAAACTACCCTATTGTGTACTTGCAAACTAGTCAAATTCAATACTTTTTTCGAACTGTCAAAAACGACAGTTTTTATGAATTTTGTGCGAGATTGTGTATTGTGACGTCACGTTTTCTTAAAAAATTGCTAAAAAAAATACTAAAATTAAGTTGGTTATAAAATCAATGAATGAAAGCGTATGAAATGTACTTTTTGATGAACAGTCGTAATAATTTATTTTTGAATAAGGAAAGTGCCCTATTATTCCCGTAATCGTGGTGCTACTAAAAACCAGCATAGTTAATTAATATTGGCGTTTACTATGTCGATTTATTATTTAGCTTATTGTCAACGAAGTCTATGAAACGACAATCTTTCAAACCCATACAGTTTTCCATTACTTTCTCATAATAAGATGGAAAACTTACATTTCCTATTTGAATAACAAAACCAGTCTTTACTGTATACAACTTTAAGACCATTTTACATCTCACTACCCCATGCTACCTTTGGACTGAATGTACAAATTGTATTCTTGAGACAATGAAACATAAATCCTTAGAAATACAGAATGAAGTATTGAGAAAAGCTTAAACGGCTTTCTCTATACTTTCCGACTTTCGTATGATGTTCCATACAAATAACTTGTTCATAAGTAACTACTTGTATGTTTGTAAAGGCATCTACGATACAGGAGAAAATCCTAGTGTTTATTATAAGGGGGGGGGGGGGGGGAATCATCGACTGTCCTCTCCCGCCTGGATGAGGCGGGAGGGAGTGTCAGACTCTTACTGACTAAAAACCACCCCGTTCCTTCCCCTGCGTTTCGAGCCGGAGCCCCGGTAAACCGTTAGGTTCTCCGCGACAAAATCCTAGTGTAGGGCAACGATTAAAAATAATAGTGTCTTTAATTCCCTATCGCTGGACTAGTGGACTACGTCAAGAACTTAAAAGAAACTGTACCTAAGCTCGGAGTAGTCTATTAGGAATTGCCAAAATAATTTAGGTTAAAAACACCTATGATGATGTGCAAGAAGTGTTGAATTAATAACACTTTGCAAAATATCAATTGATTCCAATCAATCTGGTTGGAAACCAATTTTTTTTTAAAACGTTTCCCCACTTTATCATTTCCTCCTGTGTCGTGGGTGCGTTTACAAACGTACAAGTTCACATACACAATGACACCCAGACCCGAAATAACAATTTGTGGATCACACAAAGTGTTGTTCCGTGCCGGAATCGAACCCGCGACACGTTGCACGGCACCCGGTTGCCCGGCCACCGCACCAACCATGCAGTCGAAAATAAATGAAACCATTTAGTCAGTAGGTAACCGACTTATTTATTTTGCAGTTTTTCAAAACAATAGGTATTTGAATGTTAACAAGTGCGTATCTAAAATGAATTGCTAAGATAACATAACATCACGCGGGTACATTACACATTACAGCACTTAATGCCACTGCACAATGTAACACCCACTTTTCACTATAGTATTTATGTTATAAGTCCCATGTAATAGGGGTAAGCCTATTGTCATATACCGGGCACAATTCTAGACTCCGTCCTACTACTGAGATTTTTTTTTAATCCGAGAAGTACTTTGCCCGGCCTGGGAATCGAACCAGAGAACCCTTGCTCAGCAGTCGCACTTGCGACCACTCGGCCAACGAGGCATTCGCTAAGATTTACATAATAAACTAAAAATAACATTGCAAGCATGTACCTAATGACGTCCTCGAATGAGTCTTATTCGCGTTCAAATCACTCGTTGAAGCCCCTCTTTCCTCTCAATTATCATACATTTTCTACACGACTACCTCCCCTCTATGCGTACTGACACTTACTTGTATACTTTGTGTTACCTCTTACCTCAACAACGAATATTATGCGATCAATATTTTCTATTAAGTCTCTTTAACAAAATCATTTTGATTCTCTCTTAAGAATTTTCACAACAACGTTTTTATGTAACATAATTATTTCTTTTTACAAAGGTGTATCGAAAAGTCGGTATTAGGTATATTATGATTAGTAACAAAATTAAGGACATCATAATCGTTCTAAATTATCGATGATCTAGAACTTAATTAAAATTAATAAATACATACAGCATACAGTTACTTTTCTTCTGTGAAAGTAAGTGGAATAAGTTTGAATATTTAACAATTCTTCCATACTAAAACTCAACTGTCAATTTCAGTCTACAATTATGAATTTAGTGTTGATTGAAAAATCAGCCCACAGAGTTCTAAAACTAACTTAAAACAATGTTACGCAAGATTTTTACCCGTTTCTGGGTCCCCGAAGGGGTCGGCAGAGATGCGCACATTACGGCACTTAATGCTACTGTACAATGTAACACCCACTTATCACTATTTATGTTATGAGTTCCATGTAATAAGAGAGCCTATTGTCATATACTGGACACAATTTCAAACTCCGTGCTACTAATGGCCATTTCTTCTTTACCTATTTTCTCTTAAGTAAATTAAATACAATCGTACTCACCTCAAATTAGCCAGCTCAGAACAGGAGTTAGCGAGCAGATAGTCTCCGCTCAGCAAAGCGATCTTGTTGCCAAACATCATGTCATCAGGCTCAGCGGCTATTGGTTGACGGGAGTTCATGTTGACCAGGCCCTTATGCACCAGGTGAGAGGTCCGAATCATCTCTGTCACTTCTGCTAAGGCTCGTTGGCTGTTGAATAGAATATTTACATGAGCAGTTACTTTCTGAAGGTCTGTGCAAACAAATTTTTGTTCAAGAGGTAATTTTCGGGATTAGGTATGTCAGTTGATATCAATGGAGATTCGTAAAAACTTTAATGAATGCACAAAGAGTACTAGGGATACCTCTTGGTGAGGATGAATCGATTTCTCTAATTGAAAAAAGTAACCTATGTAGTTTCTTGCTCGTTCTTCTCCATAAGAATCTACACCTTGGAATGAGCAAATAACTCCACTTTAAAATTATTTATTGACGTTCAAAAGTGCCTTTCTGGTCTAATTGAAATAAATGGTTTTGACTTTTAACTCTCGATGACTCTTTATCACAATTCTGAATCGATTTTTGTAATCCGCAATCATTCACACACTCTCACACACTCCCTTCTAATTACAAAATTTAAATTTGTTTTCCTATGTGACTGGCCAGTTACATAGAAAGTTAAACTAACGGCTTTCGAGTGGACATGTGCATAGATAAACAATTTAAGCGTATCGAATGCGTTATACAGCCTAGTAGCCAGTGAGGTGTCAAGCTACGACCTTTCATTGACATAGACATGATCATCACGTAGAAAGTAAGTCATCAATGGTTTTTTTAATGACTGTTTACACTTTACACAATAATGTATTCTATACGAATGGGTGAAAGGAGATTTTAGATTTTAAGATGATTTGGTTTTTTACCAAACATCACATAAATAACTAATTTAAAAAAATAATATACGAACTGGTCCCGGCTATAGAAAACGTCGCAAGGTACACTTAATTCCATGGTTATTAAGCTAAATAGACAGCTACATCAATCAAAATGACTTAAAAACGACTGAATTCGTCTTTAACAAAGCATTTTTGAGTAAGAAAAACAATGAATCAACGAATTCACACTTTATCTGACCACATGACCACAGCATAAAAATCAATTATAAAATTTATGAACAACATAATGGTCTGTAGTATCAACAGGAAGCCTTATTTATGGATCCATGTGATGAATGAGGAAGTTTTCACTTTCAAACCTTGGGCCCGGTCAATGCCCTTTTTGTAATTTGCTAGTGCTACAAGATACACATTATATTATCATATGTTTTATATATATGTATAGGTACCGGTTAATAAAACTTAAGGTCATTTAAAAGACACGATCTTTTGATATAAATTACTCAAATTAGGTAAAAGGTCTGCTCATGACATTATTCGTTTCTGGGTTGATGTGTCCGTATACCTACTCCATCCATATTAAAGAAGAAAATTATGACTTCCGGTCGAATGGTAGCTAATGAGACTGTAAAGGTTTTTTTTTTAAATAAACGTTGCCCCACACTAGGATTTTCTCCTGTGTCGTGGGTGCGTTTACAAACATACAAGTTCACATACACATGACACTCAGACCCGGAACAACAATTTGTGGATCACACCAAGTGTTGTCCCGTGCGGGAATCGAACCCGCGACACGTTGCACGGCAGCCGGTTGCCCAGCCACCGCACCAACCGTGCAGTCATCAGTTTTAGTTCCATTCGAAGAATAAATTCAAAGATTTAAATAGTTTTATATCTCAGTAGTGATTCAGAGGATTTATTTGTGTTTAGAATTTAGATTTGCAAATGACTCGCCTTATTTTTAGTACATATATAGACATGCGGCATACTTAAAGAACATTACAACCGAAAATTCTCAATCTTGTACCCACAATTCCCTCATGCAACCTAATGATGCAGGCGATGCATTCAATTTTGGTCTCATTCCCAACAGGTTTAAGATTGAAAGTAGGTAGTGCGCTTTAAGTATCACGGCGATGATGAAACACTATGAACCTCGTAACACAGAAATATACTTTTTACGGAGTAAAATTGAATCACTTCGGAATTATGTAAAAAGGTATTATGTAAATCTATCTATAAATCATGTTTCATTTTGAATAAATTATGACATTTGGTAAAATATTGATATTGAATAATTTAATATTAATAAATGAAAACCAGTGACAAGATTGAAAGTTAGCAAATTATATCATTAAAGCTAAGTTGGACCTTGAGGAGGATTGACCAACCAGAACAGAATCTTACGTCTATTAATTGAAAGACCTATTTACAACGACTACAAAATCTGCCTCCACTCAAGTCTAAATCTCGTCTGAAGTCGTGGATAAAGAAACGGGGTGGTAGGGCTCCGGCTTAGAATAGGAGCAGAAATGGGATGGTATTTAGTCAGTAAAAGCCTGACACTCTCTCATCATCAGCCATTGGCTGATTTATTTTCTCATTAAAAAAATAAAGGTCTCAATCTCACCTGTGCAACACTCCAGCAGCTTTGTCCTGCTCCATATCTGGTATCTCAGGGCTATGTCCAGCTGCCTTCGACACAAGCAGCACAATGAGACCCCAGGCTTGCATGTTGTTCTTTCCATTGTAGATCAGATTCCTGGAAAAGAAGTGAGTGTCAATTTTCACCGTTAACTGGCCGACCTGGAAGTCGTTGGGGAGGACTAAGTTCAGAAGTAGACGTAATGTGTGTGCGGAGAACCTAACGGGTTACCGGGGCTCCGGCTCGACGTGCAGGAGAAGAAACGGGGTGGTTTTTAGTCAGTAAGAGTCTGACACTCCCTCCCGCCTCACCCAGGCGGGAACAGTTATTCGATGATTAACGATAGACGAAAATGTAGCTGATATGATGATAATGATGCTAATAATAATCCTCGAGGGTTGAATTAAGTATTCAGTTTTGAGAATAAGTTTTTAACATCATAGGAGGACATATTTCTTTAACCATGAGATACTTAAGGTACAAGATGTGTCTGCAATACTAATTGTTTTTATCGTAAGCGATTAAATGAGTGATGATGAGCAAAGTATAACAATACAAGGATGCATATCGTTCACCGATCGGTAGGAAGTTAGTAATCTCCGCACGCGATGTTACTTCATGCAAAGGTATCTTGTACCTATCATATTTTTAGATCTTTGACTGCCGACAAAAAAACTGTTGAAGGCATATCCTCCGCTAACGTAGGTCACCGGTGACCTACGCGGCAGTTAACGTGTTAATATTGTTATACTAAATGAGAAACAAATCTTTAATATGTTTTTATAATAACTATCGTGAGACATAGGTGTAGGCTGCGCGACATCGCCGCGACCGAGCACGCTGTCCCTCTGTGGTTCGAAACTAATGGAACTTTTCTCAGTATATTCACGTGAGTAACCCGCGATTTTTGGTTAAATCTTTAATAGCCCTAATTCTGTACTATTTTTTATTTTTTTGTGTGAGAGTAAATATCGATCAATAGCTAAGCCAAACATTTTTCTAATTTTCCTTTTGTTTTCCTGTCTCACACACTCGCATATAAAGCTCTGATTTTCTTAAAACCTCTACTGACCAGCAGCTTAATAGGAGATCAGCTGGTCGATCGCACATTCAATTCACGACTAATTAGATACTTCCTGTTTGTATAAGTATGGTTTGTATCGAAAAGCACAATTAATTTTAAGTACACAAGAATGAGACCAACTTTTAAAAATACTCGTAATTATTACGCTTATTATTTTAGAGTTAAGAACTGCAATAATGTCATCATAACAGCATGTTGCATGGCCATGTAAATGCACATTATCATTTAGGTAGGTTTGTACTTACGTAACAAAAAAATTGTTTTGTAAAAACCGTTGTCTATGAACAGAAAATAAAATTACAATCTACATTCATAGTGTGGTTTTTTATTGCAGAACTAAGTAGGTATCTAAACTTTAGATATTATATGTATAAGAAATACTTCTACGTGAATAAAACATTGAAGAACAAAATGTGGTTATAAACAATAACGGGTAATTTTTTTTATTTTAAGGGGGGGAAATCATCGAATGACTTCTCTCGCCTGGGCGAGGCGGGAGGGAGTGTCAGACTCTTACTGAGTAAAAACCACCCCGTTCCTACTTCAGCACTTCGAGCCGAAGCCCCAGTAACACGTTAAGTTCTCCGCGGCTCCGTAAACAATAGAGGGTGTGTCGGTACATTTTAAATTGTTTGTGCACGCTAATGTACGGTGTTTCTAGCTTAAGCCCATATCAAGAAGGCAGACAAAATCTTTCTGACAGGATAGATAGATTTGATTCAGGAATGATCTAATTCTAATAAGTACCTACTGCATATTCATCACTGAATATAATTATACTCTTCGGTGAACGATCGATCAATAATATGTTACGTGCATAGATATAATAATTCTTAATATTTCTGTGGATACGTGTATCGTATTAATCATCGTATGTGTGTATCGTTTTAATCTATATCTGTGGTTTTAATAATAATTAGCACAAACCGAAGGCCCAATTTTTTTTAACATTGCATTTGAAAAGAGCATCACTAAAAAATTTAAATGTAGGTAATACTTTCAACTACCTACCATTTGTTTTTATTAGGATGCAATAGGTACACTTACAGTTGTCTATGATTTCTTTATAGACAGTAATAAAACACGAAATTATCAATTTGCATTTAGTTTATGTTATGCGAAGACATTATCGTTCGTTAAGTGTCGTTATAAAAACTATTAGTTAGACGATTCGAATCTTCGCAAATAAGTTTGTTTGTAGAAATTATTTTACTTTCAAAATAGTTATTTATGTTACTATACTTTCAAGCCGCAGACGACTGAAAGTGGGTACGTAAATATTAAACTTTTTTTAAGCGGGGAAAATCATCGAATGACTACTCCCGCCTGGGTGACTCGGGAGGGAGTGTCAGACTCTTACTGACTAAAAACCACCCCGTTTCTTCTGCACGTCGAGCCGGAGCCCCGGTAACCCGTTAGGTTCTCCGCGACAAACAATTAACATTAGGTTCATTCAGTCATCAATCCTTCCCCCACTCCCAAATCCCCAAAATGCTGGTAACATAAATATATTTTTCCGTTTCTCAAAGCGGGTCATTGTCAAATGCGCCTAGTACTAGTGGAGAAAGATTAAGAAGCGAGAGATTTTCATCCCAGTAAAATCATCCCGGTGGCTACCATCAGCATTTATACGGAGGCACTGGGTACTCTAAGGCAAATAGACCAGCCTCAAAGTCCTCACTGCGCACGGCTATAGAAGGAAGTCCTACGCTATCTAATCTTTTATCCTCCTAAATGTAGATCTACAAAGGTAACTTTAACTTTATATTTCAAAATATTTTATGAATCCACATTTATTTTATTATTTTTCATAGTAATAATAAATCGGTGCTAAATGTAGCAAAGTTCGTAGATGTTGTGTCTCGTGAGCGATTAGCTTTCAAATTTTCGGGTCGAGGTTTCGATTTCCACACGGAATCAATATTTGTATTGCAGCGAACGTGCCATACTTTACCATAAGCGATTTGTAAGAACGCCCAACACATACCTAAGTGGATAGAAAATAAAGTATTTGGGTATCCCCGGATCCACGGTAACCGCTTGTATACTGATTAAATTTTATTTCAAAAATTTATTTGCGTCTTAAAATAACAATGATTTTATAAACTCACTTAGCCGTTTTTAACAAAGGGTGGTTGCTTCCAACCAGCTTGCGTAGGTGCAGCGCCACATTCGCAATCTCGTCGCTCAAAACCCATCGGAGACTCAGGAAGGAGGTTGGATATCCGACAATCTTCTCCGCCTCACTAACTGCTCTGTTCCAATCTGGCTTTGAACTATGTTGTGCAACGCTTGCTCGTTGCGTACTGCATGTGCTCACTTCCCTCGGAGCACAAGGTCCCCAAAGTTTCGAAACCAACGCACTAGATGACTGGACTTTCACTAAATCACACCTCACAACACGACACAATCGGCTAAGACTCATTTTTCCAAATAAATGTAAAACAATACAATAAACGAGTACGCAATTCAAATTTCGAAACCCCAAAAGTTGTTGTTTAACAAACACAAAATTAAATTATTTAAAAATAAGAATCTATTAATGACTAGTCAAACAATAAATTCAGTAACCAATTAATTTTGCGTAAATCTTTCCAACTTAATAATTTTAAATCAAATGTTGCACAAATCCGATTTTATTTCGTAATTAATTTAAACTACGAAATACAAACGTGTACAACTTTCGCGCGTTATCGGTTGACTGACCGAATGGTGAATGATGTCTACGAACTAAAGTCGGATTCGCGGATTACGGGGATTGATGAATGACTTTTTAAAGTGCACAGAATCTGAATGATTATGAACTCTTGCAAAATGCCACTTGTTAAATTTTTTTTGTGAATATGGCAACCGACTATACACAATAATACACATACAGACTAAAAATAAGCTTTTCTAAATTATGTTACATAATATGAAAGTTATGGGAAAATTATTCTGTTGAGGCTTTTCGACGTAGGTACTTTTATCAAATTAACTTAACAATTACCTACATATTGTACAAAGGAGTTAACACTATTTATTGAGGACGAGTAGGATTATAGGTAGGTACGATTAACATTTAAATATTCAGATTTAATTTTGATAATCAAAATGATTACCTATTGATTTTTAAGTTACTGGAGTGCTATTGTTCTTAGATAAATAAATCTGGTACCTAACTCTATTGATCTAATCGATACCAGTACCTCATGTAAGTTCATCAGTTACAGTTCCAAGATTGATAGCTATAATCTTTTAGTCAGGCGTTCTCAAATGGAGTACCCGTTACCTACGCTTTATGTTAGTAAAGAGTGCTTCGATATAAAATTCTGTAAACTTATGTAAGTAATAATAGTATATATTTTTAGCAGATAAGTACATAGGATAACTAATCTTAACCGTATTTCGAAAATCTTAGTTCACGTAAGTCGCGTTATCGTTATAACTCTTTGCGAATTGCAAGCTTATGTTACCTACATGTTTTAAATTATGTACCTTTGATAAAGTTATAAATTAATCATCATTATGTGTTTATAATTGCAATGAAAAAATGTATTTAATATTTTAAATTTTATCATGCAAGGAGTAAGAACTTTTGTGACTGTATAATGTTGCCAATTCATACGCAGTTAAATAATTATACTTTTGTGATCAAAAGAAAACATATTTTACTTTAGAATACAATCTCACGATTAATATATTTGTTCTAAAAACATATTATTAATGGCCGAAAGGTGATAACAGGTGGACCGGTGGACCCAAAAACTATAATGTGATCATGGGACTTACAAAATAAGATAATATAATATGCATAATAAGAAGTACGCTCAAGAAGTAAGTAGGTATACACATTTTTATGACAGTTAAGATTAAATACGTACACAATTAAGCAACAATTGCATACAATTTGATTTGTTTACGTGTGAATATTTTTACTTACGCAATAGAAAATGTTTTTAAATTGTTTTATTACCAACAAGCCAAGCCTAATGCTTGCGGCGGACTTAACGGGTTACCGGGGCTCCTGCTCGAAGGACAGGAGTAGGAACGGGGTGATTTTTAGTCAGTAAAAGTCTGTCTGACACTCCCTCCCGCCTCACCTAGGCGGGCAAAATATTGATAATTCGTAGAATTCTTAGTATATTTTTATTTTCCAATAAGATTTGCGATTGTATTTTATTGATCATCTAATGATTGCTTTTGATGACACTATTTCATTCAATTACAAATAATTGATTTACGCTTCCGATGTAATGTAGGTACTTTCGATGATTTTCCCCCTTAAAAAAATGCTTGGTTAAAAATATACTAAGAATTCTACGAATTATCAATATTTTATAGCAACTCCGCTTTCTTCTTTGACCAATCAAGACGCTTCATAGTTGAACTATATTTCGATCATCAACCAATCCCGCCCGAGATTCGTTCGTGCTACAAAGCAATAGTTCACGTTCAAATCAATCACTCCGCACGGCTCGCTGAATCGCTCACTCACTGACTCATTCGTTCAGTCTCTCGCGTTCCGCCGGTTGTCGTAGTCGTCTGTAGAGCGGTCACTACGGAATCACCGGTATTTTCAGTGCTATAATAATTGATCTAATTCACAATCCCAGCACAATTGTTGTTATTTGATAACATTTGTGTGTTAAAGTGAGAGCGTTAAGTTGTGTGTAGGCGGGACAGTTCATTAAATTTATCGAACGTACTTTGAGGTAAGGGATTTTTTGTTTCATTCTTTAGATTTTTTCACGGACTATGTCTGGCACTGCTTTCGCGACTAGTTGGTCTTCCACGTGTAATGCATACGTGTTAAAAAAACTGTGTTACCTGTTATAGTCTCGGCATAATCAGCAAATAATTTATTACAAACATTCTACTGCGACATACAAGTACTTATTTCCCGGAATTCTTTCCTGATGTTATCCGACCGAAGATTGCGCATAATCTTCGTATATTATTAACAGCATCTGACTGCAATATATGTATTTTTACCGATACCTACATTACATCGGAAGCGTAAATCAATTATTTGTAATTGAATGAAATAGTCTCATCAAAAGCAATCATTAGATGATCAATAAAATACAATCGCAAATCTTATTGGATTTAACGCAAACAATATTCAATCTGTAGTTCCTAATTTTGGTATAGGCTGAAATTCTATTTTTAAATAAATTCCATTTGTACCAGAATCTTTTTTTTTGCGTCGATGTCAACCGGTATTGTAGCGCCGGCAATGACCTGAGATTTGGCCGGTCAATGATCTGTCAAATTGCAAACCTCTTTTCATGAATATTAATATTTATTAACTTAGTTTGTATGGAGCCTATAAACATGTCTCTGATATTGTCAACTGTCCATTAATCACTGTATCACAGTAACCCTTTGGCCTTTGCTGTTTTTTCCTGTTTCAATGGCTGACAATCATAATAATAAGAATTATTATGTCACTAATAATAAGTATTATTATGCACAGATGTTAAATAACTTATTGTACTTCCTTCTTACATATTGAAAATAAATAACAAACAGAAAAAAATCTTACCACAGACTACAGATAATAAAAATTAAATGATAACATAAACTACAGCATGTTTATGTCTACCCTTCAGTGATTCAGCCTGTGACCATTAAAAAATTACTAATCGACCTCAACCTAAAATCCTACAAAGGTTTTATGACACAAAATTAAAGTTATTAAGATAAAGCATAGACATACAATAGTAGGTAATTAAAACCTTAATTACTATATTGAGATGTTCCATCCTTCAAACACAGAAATTAGATAAATGTTGTTTAATAATTAAATAGGTATATGACTAACCAGACTATCTGTCTGGCTTTCATTTGCACTTGAAATTGGGTAATTATCATAAAGTAACTGTTTACGTATGTAAATATTTATCATGCCCTTGGTGTTACAATATTACCGCAGATAATAAAGGCTAGTATAATTTTGTAATTAGTTATTTAATAGATTCTCTTATTTGTACTCATACTCGGTCAATTATTGAAACAATAGAATGGTAATTCTTTTTCAAAATAGAAAAAGTAAATACTGTGAATCAATATTTTTAAACTAGATGAGTTTGGCATACCATAGTTAATCAACCTATGGTAAAAGTTCACTCAATGTATTTAACAGTCCTTTGGTTATCATATGGAAAATTAAATACATGTACCTATATAGAAAAAGAAAATTAACTAAAAATTGTGGGTTACTCACGTGAATATACTGACAAAACTCTACTAGTTACATAACCACAACAAGGTCTTATATAATCATACTATATCTAACCCCATAAAGTATGTTTTGGAACAATGTCTCGAAGATGGTCCATTTTGGTTTAACTCGTCAAGTACAGTATTTATAGACACAATTAAAGAACAATAGGTTGCGGTCACCGGTGACCGCTTGGTGTTCGACAGTTTAATGGACCTTGGTGCCCATGACATAAAGATGAAATCCTTAATATTGAACTAAGGATTGAATTAGCGTACAAAACTCCAAGCTAATTTTTTTTTTTACTCCACGGTATTTTTTACATGGGCTATTACATGCAAATTGGTTTTTGGTAAGGAAATTTCCTATTCCAACAAAATGGCCATAACTTTCAATTTACATTATTTAGATCTGTTCTAGTGATAATTCAATTAGAATACACATGCTTGTCTGATGTCAATCAATTATTTAGATAGATATAACCCATAAGAAGTACAAAAATGTTTTAAAATATTTTTAGCTTTGTTTTTCACTGTTTAGAGTTTTGTTTACTTAAGTAGGTAAAATTAGAAGAAATAACCATGATGCTATATGATGTATTAAGATGCAAAAGATCATAAAAGAGTGTACAACAAAGGTTTTTTTATTACCCTTTATCTGACTTATCTAGGTAGCAGGTCACTTATTAAATATCTATTCGAGTTGTTTGTTTTTATCCTAAAAAAAGTGCACTAACAACAAAAATTACTGTTCTGTAATAAAAAAGTAATCGCATGCAATTGCACTATTAAAATGCAATCTTCCATTCTTAACAAAAACTTTAAATAAAGCTAACAAGCCAAAATACATACGTTCCAAAGTCCACCGTTCGCGATATATCTATGTGACGTCACGTGTTACATAATATAGTTTCTTATCTAAACTTCCCATTGGATCTCCCCTACCGGCCCTCCAGACACGTATTGGACAAGCTGAGTCAAGCGGGGGCGCACGCGTTCTTCGGAATGGGACACATTTTTTTATAGTGATTTTTTCAACTATTTCAGGTAGTACATTTTTCGAACATTTTTGTAATGGATACGAATCGATATTATCTAATCTATACTCTAGAGGACTCCCGATTAGAATCACTACTATGTTACATTAGTAGTTTTTCTGACTACTTAAATCTTTCTACCATGTTCCTTCTGATCTATTGAGATCTGAATAAGCTTTCTTAGCTAACCCTCTCGCACTCGCTGCTCCAGACGCTCAAGCGTTCCGGAGTCCAAACACAATGATGCACTAACTCGTCCTTGTACCAAATAAATGCAATTTGCATGTCATTCATGGATTATATACTAAATAGCTTATTACAAAATTCATGTTTATCACAGCTATCTTTTAGATAACAATCGCGTGCCGTACCGCGGTCAAAGTCTGCATTATTTGTACCTAGTCATGTAAATATTGCAGCCAGAAATCCGAAAGTATAATAAAGAAAAGCAGGGTAAATTATCTGCTCGAAAAAGGCCTTCCTTATGAAGAGGGTTGCCAAAATCCCTTCGAATTAGAAATTGCCTTGAGATCGTACTTAGTTAGGTGACCAAAAGTTTATAGGGCTTGATAAAAATGATAAACATATTTATAACCTGACACCGAAATTAACAGTTCTTGGAGAGCATAATATTATTTATTAAAGTAGCTATACAATAACGAATATGATACACGGTGTCACGGAGATCTAATTAAAACTCAACGGTGAGGAAGTGAATAAGGAAACATCCTTTAGAAAGAAATTTTTTTCCAAGAACAAACGTAATAAATTTTTTAATTAAAGCATCAAAACAATAATTAATGATACCTAAATCTATTGGCGGGTCGTGGGAAAAACCTACGAATTACAAATGATTAATTATCAATCTTAATCTCGGGGAAAAACTGTCTTTAAAGTGTCATTCACATTAGTTATCAATGCAGGTGAAAAGTTTTCCATCACCTAATTTATCTAAGTACAATCATTGCATGTTATAAATATTTGATTTGCAAAAACCACTCATGTCGTTACTATGCTCTATAGAGAGTAATAGCACTATCAATCATTGTCATTGGTGTGTGCATTGTGATTTGAGTACCGCCTTGCCGATATTACGTCGTCAGTCCAGAAGATTGGATGGTCAAGCTATAAACGTAACATGCACTATTAAAAGAAACAATAGGTACCTAATTGCTCCCAAGTGAAGCATTTTTTACGAGATATCCCGGTAAACGATCAGATGGATCACCTGATTAGCACCGCAGCAATCGACGCCGCCCATGGTCGCTAAAACACTAGGCGTAACAAGTCCGTTACTGGCGTTTTGGGGATTAGGAATTTTAGGATTGTTGGGAATTCGGGGATTGGGAAAAATGGGTAATTGTGCCTCCGGTAACCTTACTTGCACGATAAAACACAACGCAAGCGTTGTTTCACGTCGATTTCTCGGTAAGGCCGTGGCATCACTACGGTCGAGTCGGCGCGTATTCGTGCCAAAGCATGGCTCTCCTTTATTTAATTAGAAATGTTATTAAAGTTATCCAGCCCTTAATACAACATATAGATATAATACCTATATATTTAGACAGTTAAGTTTAATAAGTAGTAGTATTCCTATTACATAGAACTTATAATATGACTGGTAAAAAGTAGGTACTATACCTTCGAGTGTAATGTCATGTAGGTAGGTAGTCTTTTATTTCTTTTTCCTTGAGGAAAAATGTCCTGACAATAATATCAATTTTCATTGCAAATGAGGCTTTACTGTTGTCACTCAGATGGAGGTCCTTTCCTTGATAAAATGAATTAGTTATATCAAGTACGTATTTGAAACTAATGTTAGTCCAACACAGTGTTTTCTTTTTGCTCTAGTTAGGTATACCTAGTTAGACGTATTGTATTTTCATCGTGTTGTTCTTCATAAGGACACCAAAAGTATGCTGGTATGGACACAGTCGCAGAAATATTAAAAACAGGCTCAAACCTATGGATCTCACCAAAACAGACTTCATAAACTATATTAGATTTAGTTGTCAACTTATTGCACCGACCACGCTCTCACTGCATCACCCAAAGGTTGGCTAGTAAGAATGCCCATGGCATTAAGCCTGTCTATGTAATCTTGTTACATAAAGTTAAATAAATAAAGTTTTACCCGAATCGGTCCAGCTGTTCTCGACTTCAACGCACAACATCCACTCTAATATGTGTATTATTGTGTATGTTTACGTTTAGGACTTTACCTAGATAGGTATTTTATTATTAATTCAAAAGCAATGGTCATACATTTTCCTCTTCTTTTAATATCTAAAGCACGTGTAAAATCAGTATCTACCTATATTATTTAATTTAAATACTGGTTATTTATTAGTTAATTTATTAAATTGTAACTTAATTTTGCATTAAACATTTGATTCCCTAAATACATACCTATAGCCTATTCTGTACAAATATATTAATATTTGTGTAACTGGACTGATGGAATAGGTACCACCGGTCCAGTCTGTAGGTATATGCAAATAGCAAATCCTTACTAATATTATAAATCGGAAAGTGAGTTTGTTTGTTTGTTTGTTCCGTTTTCACGCCGTAACTACTAAACCGATCGCTTTGAATTTTTGCAGACGTCCAGAAGTCCAGATTAAATAATAAGGTACTTTTTATCCCGGAAAATTATTGTTGATATTCCCGAGGGAAAACAAAAGATATAAATAATAAAATATTGGTATAGATGGCGCTGTGTGTATTGGTATACGTCACATATGCTACTTTTTATCCTTTTGTGACGCGAGTGAAGCCGCGGGTAAAAGCTAGTGACCCAATATAAAAGTAGTCTCGTTCCGTCAAAAATTACCTGATGAAGACCAACAATATGTTTTAGGTACTAATATTTGTGTAGGTAGCATTCATCTAAATATTCCATAATATGTTTAATATGATAGCACTTGTCTATGCCCTTGTTGAAATAGAATTCATAATATCGTGTTTGGCTGCCGAATCGATATATTTATGTGATACATACGGCTATATTTGAAAATACTTCGGCATGTTTTGGTTAAAAGCTTTCAGTTCGATTGTTTCTCTGGATTTTACACGAACAAAATCGATTCGGTATATCTTTCGACATCAACAGAAGACCTTTCAAGTCTGGAGTATAGTTAACTGTCAAATCACTATAAATAAAACCAGTTGCTAGATTAAAACCCCAGCACAAATCTAAAGTCTAGACCAACGAGTTCAAAGTTATCTTTACCGAAATCTAAAGCTAATTCGAGACAGTCATGCACATTAAACTGCAATGAGAGACAGCAAGCATAAATAACCAGAACATTTTCTAATAACATGCTATAATCTAGCTTAATAGAATGAAAACTCGGATCATAAACACGCTAGTTAAACCGGATTCAGTCAACATTTATTTATATGTCTTAGTAAAGTCGATGAACTTCGCATTTCTAGGACGAGGTGAAATAGTTTTTTTTAAACCTCCATGAAACCTTCGTACTTGACCATTCAAAGTGTACACGACACGCCATGCCATTTAATGAATAAAAGCTGTTAACTATTGTTATTATAAACTAAATATTAATAACTAATAGAGTATTGTTTCGTTGCTATCTGCTTGAATGAAGTTCGGTACTGCAGAGTGCAGATGCAGATGCTGTATGTATAGATACGAACTATTATTTTTTTATTGTACAAAGGATGACGTTTAGCCACCAACTCGCGTGGTCAAAAAGTAGCACAAATTAGTTATCATTTATGAGTCTTTCCTAAATCTACTAGATTCTTTACTTAGAGTTATAATTATAAGAAAAAGAATCTACAGGTTTTTCATAGACTCCCTTTATAACTGTGCTCGGTGAATGGCCATGAGTTAGCGCCGTATGAGATCCCATAACATATGATATAACTGTAATGTCTTTAAATCCATATTTTCGTTTTCCCCAGGTATGGAGTGGGAAGGGCCGCCCAAGCAAGGCTTGTACGACCCACAGAACGAGCACGAGGCTTGCGGTGTTGGTTTTGTAGTTGCTATCGACGGAAAACGTACCCATAAAGTAAGTACTCTTTTATATGTATAACGAAGCTTTACGAAACTCTTTTCTATTTCTAGAACAACTCTTCTATAATACAGTCAAAGCCTTCAAATATCTTCACTCCAAAAATAATGTTCCAACTTATGCTTCCATACAAAAAACTTTTATTTATTTTAAAAATATAACGTTACGACGTTTTCTATTCACATTCTATTAAAAGATTGTTTTGTAAAGTTTCAGTTGCGTTGGTCACGTTGTTTTATTTCAGTTCTTAAGAGAAACAATGTGTTTAGGCGGTTATGAGACTCAAAACCGTTCATACGCTTGGTTAAATCCATGTTATATTTAGAAATCAATATACCAGGCAGTTATTAAGTTTGATCACAACCTTAATAACTGTCTGGTATATTGATTTCTAACTGGTATCAACCAGCTAGACACATAAGAGGCCCTAAGCCCTAACCCAATCAATCTGTAAAGGATATATAGTAGACATAATATGTATAGCGCAGAGCCCCTATCCGTTGCCTGGTAACGTTAATTAATTTGGACTGAGAGCCGTCTGCCCCGTCTATGAACATCGATAGATACCGTCGACCCTTTCAAGCCATACGCTTCCAATTAGTCTCTTTACGTCCAAAATGAAACAAAAGCGAGACGTAGTTAGTTATATTCAGGCGATGTAGGCACTAAAGTATTTTGATAGAAGCACTGGAAATGAATAACGCTGCTAGTATGGAAAATACTCAGTTCAAAAACAAAATTGCTCAAAAAAAATCAGGAGGAATGGTTAATCTCGTTATACATTCTTGACATTTGGTTATAATAACCGCAGTAAAATATTCGGTCAAAGTGCCAATTCTTTTCGTGTTATATGCATATTTACCATGTTATTGGAAGATTTTCAGAAGCTCTGCATTTATGGCATTTTTCTTGGCAACCATTCATGTATTTTACGGACCTTAAAATAAGCAATTTAATAGGTTGGAAGTTCACCGAAATTGGCGTGGCGCGACAATCGTTTTACAGTACATCGGTTTTAAAATAAAAGGAACTTTGGACTGAATAATCGTAAAATTGTACGGAAATAATATGTGAAGAATGCGTCGTAGATATTTATGTGCATTTCTACTTCAATGGACGAGAGTTATCCTTGAGATTTTTGTGCACTAGACTTAGGGTATGCCGTCGGAAATTTATTTACCACACACTGGTATGTGTGTGAATGAGAATTCGTAATCCGTACAACACGAGCCACTGCCACTACACAACCTTCTGCCTTTCAAAAGGATAATTCTAATTATCTTCAGACAGTATTGTATAAGAAACAATTTGCGTCATACTACGGCTTCGTCATTTTCGGTTAACAAATGACGTCTCGAAAATAACGACAGACAAACAAGAATTTGAACTTCGACACTGATAAATTGTACTCATTATTTTCTTATTTTGTTGTTTATCGTTAAGTATAGTATTTATGTCCGTTAAGTAATACTTATGAGATAATTAAACTGCACACGGTGTGATTATGAATTTGACACGATACTAAAAATAGAGGACACTGTTCCATTTTTATAAAAAAATCTGAGATTGTTATTCACATAGAAAAGAAGGTAGGAAGTATTGAGACTTTATTCAAAAACATTTCACCTTTTTTATATAGATCGTCCGAGATGCAGAGACGCTCGCAAAGCGCATGGAGCACCGTGGCGCGTGCGCATGCGACAACGATACCGGTGACGGCGCGGGAGTGCTAACTGCTATACCGCATCAGTTCTACTGTGCTCAGCTCAGGTAAGAAAACGTAGATTATAAATAAAAACTGACGGGACAAGGGTGCGATAAAAAATGTTTGAGCGTACTATTTACCGCGAGATGAGAGCATGATTATGGACCTCAGTGTGGCTCGAAACTCATCGGGCATCCTCAAAACTGTAAAAATGATTGAACCGTATAAATATTACTTCATTTAGTTTAGGTACCTTTTACGTTACGACGTAGACGTAAATAAAGCGTATTTTTAAGCAGGTATACATTCATGGTGGTATAAAAAACACTCTTAATTTTCGAAGGACTAATATCAAAATACTATACCCTATTTTGCTATTCGCCGGGCAAACAGCCAATGAGGTTATTGTCGAAGCCGTTTTACGCAAAGACTTCAAATCTCGACGGGGTCAGAACAATGCGTCACTAATGCACTAGGTTTAGTGGTTTTTGGTTTAATACTAAAACGAATGATCATAATTATCGATCGTTACAGAAACGTAGAGTACTTAGTGTCCTCATTCTGTACAAATAGACAACACATTGTCTGTTTACAGAGATTGATCAAAGTAGTATTTTCAAATCTACTATTATTGACCACTCCGATTTGATAAATATCCACCATGATTTCTGACATTGAATTAATTAATGTAGGTCTTAAAAAAAAAGGCCAAATGCACTTTTATGACTATTTAAGTCACCAACAACTGCATCCAACGATAGAAAATCAAATTGCAAGAAATTTAATTCCATTTTCACATGTTTTTTGCATCCATTGACGATTAACCTACGTCATTTTGATAAAAAATCGGTCTTATACTCCTCGTCTCGTCGCTGTCGGAAGAGATAAACCCTAACATCGATTTAGTTGATTAAAAGTCTAAACTTTGTGGGGTTGGCGATTTGCCAATCGTTACAAGAACAATTCTACCCACAGCCTTACACTTGGCATACAGCCAGATGGTCGGATCGGAAAATCGATACGACATGACAAACTGGAACAAAACCGTTCTCCAGCGTGGGAAATATATTGAGAAAATGGGTTGGAATAGTTGTTTATGCAACCATCAAGGAACCTTTTTTATTCTGGGAAAGAACATGCAAATAATAGAAAAACATCATGTAAATCTTCGATTGATAGCTCTAATGTGTTTGTTTCCATGTGGTCTTATTCCTGATATATAGATATTTGTATATCTTTTTGTATAGAAACTATACTTTGGATTTGTATCCATGATAAAAGATGATCAGATAGAAGCCCTATTTCATGATGAAGAACTAGTCCTGGGACGCTTATAACATACCAGATACACAAGGTGTTAAGAGTAGATAGTATAGATGTGTTTACATAATGTAGAAAAATGTGTTAGTATTCAATTAAATACACAGTTAATTCTAGTTTTTCCTGATGCGAGTCTAATGATAGGCAAAGGGCATTGACTAAAATTGGTGCCTTTCTTTTTTCTGGCGGCAGTCGATGATTTATGGAAAATATTATCTAGAATGACATTACAAACGAAATTGTCTATGGGCTCATATATGGAAATCTCAGTCTGGACTGAGTTATGAGCGTTGAAAGGAGCTGGAATAAAACATTTTGCTTTCGTTTTTTTATTCAAATTATTCATATTTTTGTCACAGTTCTAACTTCAAATTGCGCGCCACTGTACGCCGGGTACAGAAATACCAAATTACACCACAATATATCCATATTGCCAGTCGCTAATTTTTATTAGCTATTTTATCTCAGTCGATAACTTGTAGGATGCTTCTAGGAGTTGTGTCGAGAAGCTTCATGAGTGTCAGCTGTGGTACCATTGGTGGGTTGAGTAGTTGTAGCAGCCCAAACATCTAATAAAGTATTTTTTTGCCGTTGACTCCTGGTGGGAGACTCATCTACTTTGTAGTTAGCATAATCTTTTGAAGAAAGCAAACCGTCGACTTTGTAAAGTGATGGACTATACGTCAGATGAGCGCATAATTTTTTCATATAATGTGATCATTCGAAATGCATCACTTTGTGACTGAATGACGATGTCTTTGTACAGAATCTTATGCTAGATGTAGATTAACTGTAGTTAGATTAGGTACTAATCGGAAGTAAGTCCGGAGAAGTAGACAGAAAAATTATTTTTTCGTGTTTTGACGACTGTTACTACTCAATCCGCTACCGACGCCGCAGCTGACAAACATAGCATGTCATGATAGGGCTCAGTAAAGTATTTTGCGGGTTTTTGACTGAGAGGAAATTGATAATGAAAATATGTCATGGGCCATAAACCGTATACATATAAATTGAACACTGCCACTCAAACGAAATGTTTTTTTTTTCTTCGGCAGTGGTCAGTTAATGGTTCACTCTGTTATGATTCCCTGGCCTTATAACGAAAAAAAATAAAAAATAAAAAAAGAAATAACAAAAAAAAAATTATAATAGTCCACAGTAAGCTTTATTATATTCCTTGAAATCGTCTATAAACATTTATTACAAAATACGATCTGACAAGTAAATGAAGAAATATGCGTTGTGTACGGTCACCATCAACAAAATCACAGGAATTATATAGCACAATTTCACATCTTTGAACTGATTTAACTCGGTTTGGACTGTGTTTTTGATATAAGACCCCATATATTTTTTTGTTTGTAATGTTATTCTGCATCAGTTTATCCACATCCGATCAACTGCCGCGAAAAAATGAAAAGGCACCACGCTCCATACAAATTTGGTCATTGTCATTTATTTAACCATCTAGAATATAAATGCCTCAATTTTGAATAATGATTATGATTACCATGGCTGCTAGTTGCAACGACATTAAAGTCATCTGAAGGACACTATTTCATTCATTTATAAACGTTGATTGCTTCTTGTTCTCTTTGTACTTCTCTACTAATATAAAAACAGTACCTACTAATATAAAAACTATAAAATATCATTATTTTGAAACGATCGTAAAAGCAACAATGCTTCTCGTTAAATAAACACGAGCGGAATTAAAACATTTTATGAAATTGCACTTACATAGTAAACATTTATAGTTCAGATTTCCACATTGTGAAGTGCTTTAAAAATAATCGTTATTTTCATTGAGCCGTTTGAATAATGCATTGCACTTCGCTCTGTTATTTCGAGTACCGTTAGATACACAGAGGTGCTGAAAGAATAATATGTGAATAATTCAAGAGCACTGACAACGAATACTGCGCAAATAGTATAGAAATAAAATTACTAGTTATTGAGTCATAGGATGTTGAGAAAACGCTAGGGGATAATGATCCTTTCAATGCGAGTACGTTGCTCTTCCCTTCCATCAGTGTAATACAAAGACACGTTGATTACATAGTATCAAGCGAGGTCCTGCGTACTGCTTACGCATTCATAGGACAGTATCAAACGTAAATAATGACGTAATTGCTGTGATATGTCCTATGTATTTGAACTGTTATATAGTAAAGCATACAAAATGTACCAACTTATATACATACATGTACTACTTGTATTAACATTTCATGCGGTTTGCTTATCATGGTTTACTGGTGAACTTCCTGAACCTGATATTTTTGAAACTTCCTACTCCTAGTCAACATCGTCATCATGTTAACCACAAGACGTTTACTGCTGAACATAGGTCTCCCCCAGAGGCCGGTTGGAAGCAACACCTTTCAACTCATCAATCGCCATCCACTCATCGTCATCAAATACCATTTCATATATTTCTACTATCTGTAGAGTTTAATCTTTCTTAAAAAGACTTCTTAAATCATGAGTACCTTTGACTTTAATTAATAGGGTTTCCCTCCCTATTAATTAAAGTCAAGGGACAATGTAATTCGAATACTTACACGCTTCATTGTGACATTACCCTTTGCGGTTTGCGGTGTAGTAGGAATGACAATATTTACTTGCCGGATGGTCTTCTGTCTACGTCATACACCGCTATACGTATACTGAAATATGCAATGAAAAGGCGATGAAGCTCGAATCTTGTTAAGTCTACAAACTACGAGTACTTTATTACCTATTAAAGATTTTAAAAAGAAATTCCATTTAATTTGTCGCTTATGAACTAGTTTAGTGCTGACATCAAGACATTGTAGATTTATTTAGTCAAAACTGCTCTTTTCATCTCGTCAGAAATCCAAAAACCAAAATGACAAAATTCGCAATTGACATCTAGATCCCCACTTGCCATTGCCCCCTTGCTATACCAATTACAATAATAGTGTTCGCGTAGGACCCCTCCCGATCTGGAGCTCTAATATCAACAGTCAATTTGTCTGACCCAGTCACCTATTCGCCAGCAAATAGATAATGGTCGCCACGACACGATCCGCTAGACCCAGCTACGCAGTAGTTTGATTTATCTATACTTTATTTAGTGTTGTGTGTAAGTTTATCGATAGTACTGTGTGTAATTTTGTTTCTATATCCTTATCGAAACCCCTTGTGTGGGGTAATTATATCGTTATCTGTATTTTATTATTACTAGCCAGTTTCTCGTTAGTTTAACTACTTTTTTTTATAACATACGTAAACTCCCGAATTTGATGTGCAGAAATTACGAAACACAACCTTATTCTTACATACTTCTTAGCATCCATGATCTCGTCTAGGAATGATTGTTCCTTATTATTTGATATACACTTATAACTATAGAATTTACACACGACACGACCTATACTTGTTCAGTATTGTTATCATACCGCTGCATAATATTTACATAACCGCTATAGCCTATAACCAAGAATACAATGTAACATTGAATATAACGTAAACAGTGTTAACGTAAGCGTAAGTCAATAGCTAACGTATCTAGGAATATTATGGTTAAATTAGTTCAAGAATACTAAAGGTTTGTATCAATCAAATGTCATTATCGTCAGCTGAATATGGGCTTCTTCAATCGCACGCTACTAATTAGATCTTCAGCTCATTGCATCTAATCCACTACCATAAACCTTGCGGCAAATACGATGCAAGATACCCCTTCTAAGTGAAAATTTTCCTAAAATTGTATTTCAAT